TACTTTTGTTTTTTTCTTTTTTTGTATTTGTTAAAGTGTATTTTACATCGGCATACAGATAAGGTAGACAACATTGTAACGCATGAAATTATTTATATTTAAATAGGGCGGAACAGTCTTCACACAATTTTCCACAAGAATTTTTTTTTACAATATTTCGAAATCGGACTATTCATTAGACGCTAAAATCCCCAAGATTTCCAATGCCGTCTCCATTATGTGACCTGAAATTGCTTACTGATCATATCATATTTATATGTTTACGATGCGCCGTTATGGCAAGCGCAGATGTTTATTTTGTTTTAATTTAGATCCGGCTCGTAAAACTGCACGTGACTTTTGATGCGTCTAGACTCTGACGTCACATGACGTCGTATGTAAGTTAAATTTCCAAAAAGAAGCCTGAACAGTGCTGAAAGTTAATGAAGAACGTTTCGTTTGCTATTTATCTTCAATATTTAACTATTTTCAATTAAATCAGGGCATGTTTACATTTAGTTGAACTTTCGCTGCTATTCTTGCGAGAACGTAGCTTTAACATAGCTTCAACTAGTGATGCATTGTGGGTCCAAATTGCTGCGTCAAAAAATTCTATCGAATGAGTGTGCAGTAGTCCGATTTTTCTCTTCGCACAGGCGTTGCTATAAGAGCTCGCAGTGAGAAGCGTCGTGAGAAGCGACGCTCGCTTTTACTACAATATAGCGTCCTGTAGGTGTTAATAACATAATATTTACGTTTGCTGTGTTTTTCTACAAGGCCAACTGTGAAATTGATTTGAAAATCATTTTCTTGTATACTCTTGGGTTGAAATATACTCGGAGAAATGTGCATTAACGTGACATTTCAATGAGGTTGCAGCGATGTTAGTAAAAATGCAACGTTATTGGACAGCGAGAAATTCAAATATTAAGTATGTTTTAATAATTTCCAAACATGTAAAATATAAATATAAGGAATGTTTTTAAGTTTTGTGTGAATTATTGGTGCACGCTTAATGAAATATGCCTGCTTGACACGTCTGAGTGATTCACACATCAAAAACGTTCCTTAATTTAACTTTTTGAAGGACCTCTAAGGAATCATTAAGGGATCTAAGATGCATTTCAAAAATAATTTATTCATTATGGTGTGTATGTGTAAATGTCTGTGTTTTTATTGCTTCGCGTTCTTTTTTTTTCTTTTTTTTTATCTATCTATTTATTCATTTATTTTTTTTCACTTTTTTGGGTATTTTTTTTTCTAGTAGAAAATGTTCACCTTTGCATTATAGTAACGTTGAAGTTTGGGAGAAAAAAGAAAAATTAATGACAAACACATGAATGTTTATCACCGTACCTCTGTTTGTTGTTCAATCAACTTAACAGGGCCAATCGACTTACGAAGATCGATGTATATTAATCCTTAAAAGACATTGGGCTCATTTAACACCAACAACAAGGTTTTTCAAACTATTTCATTCAAATCTCGTATTTAACTGCTCGTTTTTAATACATGAAATAGTAACTGTATATATGTTTCGTTTCAAATTTTATAATTACATGGTACATAGGTTGTGATTAATGTTTTCTTGCATAATCACCAGTGTTAGATTGACTTGCTCGGTGTGAGAAAGCAGTGTGAGATTTTTCTGTCTTACACTGTGTATTACTACGCCGCGAACGATAACGTAAACATTCCGTCTTTATACAAAGAAATTGTAACAATGTTATAAAAAAAATTACACATACCTTAAATGTTGTAATTCTAATTAATATAAACTTATTTTCATTCAAAATATTGTCGTATTTTCAATTTTTAAATGGCACTATTTTTAAATTTTGGAATGGTTCTTCTTTTACACTCTAGGATAGAAAAGTTTTTCATTCACAGTTTTTATCTATCTAATTAATGTACACGGACTTTAATTTATTTTATTAGTGTTTACACATAGTGTAAACCATTTTCAGGCACGCTCTCTCCGATGGTGTATTTAGATTTTTAATTAGATGGGAAATTAAAAAAAATATTTTTAGCCCTATCACGGCGACATCATTGACAGGCCGTTATTTTGGATAAAATAATGCGAGAAAAATAATCATTCATTACATACTCGTGCGGGAATAGTGAAATTCCACCTCGGGGCCAAGATTCACGGTCTAAGACTATGCAAAACCTCGTCCTAGACCGTGAATATTGTCCCCTCGGTGGAATTTCACTATCCAACACTCTTAGTAATGAATGATTCTATTATTCTGATCAAATTCATGACATAACAAATTTACCTACCATTGTATCAGCATTGTGGTTTATCTATTTCATCAAGATTATTTTATTTCATTGTCTTAAGTCCAATTGCACAATAAGTGTCCATCTAATAAATAAACAAGTATTTTATTTTACTTTCGCTTCTTAAACTTGATGTTAAATATGATATGATATTTATATACAGCTCGTTTTCAACATTTAGAATTTAAGTTAAATATTTGATTAAGTCCCATTGACTCAGAGCGAAATTTATACTATTCATATAAACTTTAAAAACAGAAATTTAAAACCGTGATCGTCTCTTTGTAAACTTCATTTTTATGCGTTGTAAGATTAGTTTTTTTATAAGCGTTGAAAATCTAAAGCAACAGAACTTAATCTGACAATTCCCTCAAATTTGTTTTTGTAGATATACAGCAAAAGTGCTTTTTTTGTTGTATATTATTAAACCTGGACCTGAATTTAAATTACCTTACATATATTTCAATCTATTGCAAGTTTTAAAGAATTTCATCTGTCGCCTGGTGCACGAAATAAAATCAAATGACATTGTAATGCCTTACAAACACGTAGCATACTTCAAATACCCTTAAAAAATAACAGCAATGTTCTATATTTATTGTTTACTTGCTAGGTAACTATGTCGTCTTATCTGATATATTTGATGAGTTTGCACTTTAAAGAAAAAAAAGCCTGTTTGAGATTTAAAGTTAAAACGTGACTTTAGGTCCCTCGATAGGGTATAGAAGTATATCATATATTTTGAATAAATTTGACAGTCATATGATACTGACTTATGTACGTACTACATGTCCATCATCATGTTCTACAGTGTGACCTTTGGGGCGAGCCTAGTAAATTATATACTTTCAACAACCTTTTCACAAATTACACTTGTACTGCCTATTCATTAAAAAGGGAGAAAAAAATATACAAATAAATCATTGACAAGTCATAAGTAACAAAAGTATGAAGTCAAATAAAGTTACTGTTTACTCCAGACGGAAACAATGAATTTGTGGCAAGGTGATTACATTAAACCGTTTGTATATATTTTTCGAGCTGTGCTCGCTATTATATACTACTTCGGAAAAAATAAGTACAAAACATCATGAAAAAAGGAAGGTGTATTATATAAATATATCCGAGGGAAACAAATAATAATGAAAAAATTCATGATCGCATGAGAGAAAACAATTTTAAAATCTTTGTTTAATTTGCATTTTAGATATTATTCACCCAAGAGCAATTTAACCTTGTACGAGGGGTGATCAAAAAGTATGCAAAATATCCTTTATCTACAACACCATAATTCAGATTAGAATGAATTTTGCATAGATATATCCATATTTATTATACCTTTGTTTATTTTTTCCATATAAAAATAAGACGAATTAATATGCTATTTTTTCTAAACAGTCTCTACCGTGAAATAGTTTTTGTGTTTATCTGTTTGTCTGTCTCTTGTCAACTTTAACCTTTGCCATAACTTTTAAACCGTGAGAGATAGAGAATTCAGATTTGGTATGCTTACTCCACTAATTAAGCCCTTTCAACTGACACCAAGGTCAATGCCCTTGTGACCTTGAATATGACCTATTTGCTAAAAATTGGTTTTTAGAACTTTGTTGCCGCCAGGCGCATAGTGTTTCACAAACACATGTTGTTTTAAAAATAAAAATAGTAGTCGCTCTTGTGGCACAGTGGTTGGAGAGTCTGATTTAAGAGTCGCGTAGTACAGAATTGATCTTTACGTCGTGGAATTAAGTCACTGCGGACGTGGAGACTGACCCTGCGGATGAAACCGTAGTAGGCGCTAGCATGAAAAATGATCCCTCACTGCTCAATGACCAAGTGCTTAGTAAAGGAGAAAAACTTGCTCCCCTGACAAGTGGTGGCCGTCTCTATATGAGTGAACACTTTTTGAGAAGGACGTTAGAATAAGATAAAAAAAAACATATCAATGTAAAGTATTTTAACCATTTATTTCGTCCATAAGACGCAAACGTAGAGCAGTAGTGCAGCTTTAGGCCGTTTATTTTATGGTCGTGGAAGTTAGAGTTAATCCACGAGTTTAAACCGAGGTCATTTGTCACAGTTCCGATTATGTCTAAATGTGCCGTCCTTCGCCGGGAATTATTGGTGTCCCAACTTGACTGAAAAAATTCAAAACAAGCAAACACTCAAAACAGTATATAACATCTAAAGGTAACCTAAATTAAAAAATGACATGTATTTGTTTTATATATTCTTTCTTTGATTCTTTTGGGCTAAAATCTATATGCCATATTTTTTTTTATTCGTAAGCCTGTTCGAGCCTTAAAATCAAACCCTTGTGTCTCGCTGTAGGCATTTGCACCACAGTAGGTCCTAATTTTGTTTCTTTCCCTCTGTATATGGTGACGTTTTTCGAAGCCAGTTAAATATAAGAGGAATCAATCTGAATATTGTATAAAATTTACAAATGCTAACAGGTTCGATGGAAGCATGAATTCATTATTATTATTATAGTATTCCTTGTTATTGTATTTCACTTGGATACATTTTCTTCTTCTTCGTCGATGTGCTTCAGATCCTCTTTGATATGAAGATCTTCTTCTTTTCTACTTCTATCATCATCATCCTCTCTTGTTTGGTAAACCGCTTCAAACTTCTTCCATTTAATGTCAAGAGCATCCAACAAATCTTTCCACGTCTTCTCGTTAAAAGCCTTTACTTTGCATCGCCTGCGATCCATCAGTTTCTTCAACCCTTTGGTGTTTTTATCGCTTTGCCTCTTTTTCAATCCGTGGACATGTGGCTCCCCCTTTGTTATGCACGAGCGGCGTTTTATCCTATAAAGACTAGCAATGTAAATCGTCAACTACAGTTGTCTTTTTCTCGTTAGGAAATCAAGCAGCTTGTGTGCGCAGTATTCACACGGTGAGTTGTTGAGGTAAATTCTTACTCTCATTAGTTCTTTCTTGTACATCCCGGAGAGTCTTTTAATCAAGGTTTGCTCTGAATGTCTGTTGACGCTCTTTATGACCTTTGGATCTTGACCACTGACCCAGTAAACTAATAGAGTTATTCCTGCGTAAGACCAATTGTATTCATGGTGTAAAACAGTGTTGTACATATGATGGAAGACATCCACAGGATCTATATGCAGTTAAAAAGTTTATAAACATATTCTCATGACTTTTTTTTTATATGCAGTTTACATGAAAACTCGAGGTAATCCTAATTTGAAATTATATTTAGATGTTTTACTTACATGTACAAAAGTTTATATTGACAAATTTACGAGTATATTTATTTTAGAAAAGCTGATCCCAGGCTGCCCTTTCCTTATCTATATAAGCGTTATATTCAACCATCACCTTCATATGTTGTTGTATTTCCCATTCTGTCTATTGACAAATAAGTTGATGGCACATTAATTTGAATGGCCTACAATTTAATAATTGTTTTTCAATTTTTAAGCAAATACGCAATATCAGTAAGAATTATAATTGACTGTCATCTTGGTAACATTGTCCAAAAAAGGTCTTTGTTTTGTTTGAATTAGAAAACGGGTTATTTATTACATGTAATCTTGTTCATTATTTCAGGCTGCTGTAGTTTGCCGATATACTATGTTTATTTTTCATGGGATAGAATATCCACCTTTGGAAATGATCCAGCACTGAAATTTCTACGTGTTTTATGTCCTGATCACAGATTTGTATTGATTTTATATTATTTTGAGATGAATCAGTTTTCATTATATATAAAACTATCCTTACATATAGATATTACTTATGCTTTACAAGCAATTTGTTTAGGGAAAAGGTAAAAGGTGTAGATTAATGAAACAAACATAAACATTACGCAAAATAATTAAATCATAAAAATATTCCATTTTTGGGGTCACTTTTTAATGATCTCAAGCCAACACAGAACACTACATTTCATTTATAGCGTGTCATTGTTCTAACCAGTTCAGAATTGATCTCTGAATGATAGTCAAACAGACTCTAAATTCTAAATTCACACCTATAGGTCCTTTATAAAAAGAGGAAACAGACACTTTAAATATTCATATAAATTATGCAGGCTTGATTAAATTTCATACAAATGGTTACATTACAAGGATTCTATTCCTGTTTGTTAGCTAATTACCTGCTTCTGGTTCATCATCGCTAATGTTCTCTGCAACAAAAAGAGAAGAACAGAAAAAGAAAACATTAGGAACATATTCAAATTGAAATTAAAATCGAGTATCAATAACCGACACCGACACTCTCTCTCACACACACATACTCAAACGGACACCCACACACACAACTCTCTCTCTTCATTATTTTAAGAATATAGCTTAAACTTTCTCAGAAAGTTTTAATGAATATTTTGAGTGCTCATTGTTGAGTCCGAAAGCAAAAACTTACCAATAAAACGAATCATATATATATATATATATATATATATATATATATATATATATATATATATATATATATATATATATATATATATATATATATATATATATATATATATGAAAAATCTTTAAAAATCTTCTTCTCAAGAACCACTGGGCCAGGAAAGATGAAACTCACGTGGAAGCATCCTCAGATTGTGTAGATTCAAGTTTGTTCAAATCATGACCACCCCCACCCCACCCCCCGGGGGGGCAAGGGTGGGACCAAAAAGGCCGACCAAAGTTTTATATAGGAATATATAGGAAAAATCTTTAAAAATCTTCTTCTCAAGAACCTCTGGACCAGGAATGATGAAACTCATGTGGAATCAACCTCAGGTAGTGTAGATTCAAGTTTGTTCAAATCATGACCCCTGGGGTTGGGGTGGAGCCAAAAAAGTTTTACATAGGAATATATAGGAAAACCTTTTAAAATCTTCTTTTCAAGTACTTCAGAGCCATGATTAGTTATGTTTATATGGAATCATTCTCAGGTAGTGTAGATTTTAGTTTGTTCTAATCATGACCCCATGGGGGGTTAAAATTCAAGCCTTTCCCCCTTACCTCAGTAAACTTTAAGTTCTGATCTGATATGTGCTTTTTCCTAGCCGATGTTCTCAGATGAGCGCTGTGGCCCATGGGCCTCTTGTTAGAATTAATAAACGTATTTATTTATTTTTGATAGGTAACCATAGTAATTGGGTAATTTAACTCAGTTCACAAATGGTATTTATTAATCCTGTTTACATTAAATAAAATGTTTCATTACCGGATTATTCAAAGAGCTATAACCTTTTATCCAGTCCTTTTATTTTGAAAGGTTTTGTAAAATTTCTGATGATACATAATTTTAAAAAATTAATTTAATTATGAATGAGTGTAATGTGTGAGAGAATATTTGATCTATTGTTGATTACCAGGTATATATAATTATATGTTTTTGAATAAATGAATTATTTTTTTGAAACGTTAATTAACCTTGATTATATATTGAGTTCATGGATTCTGCACAGGTCTGTGGGAATTGACTTTGATATACCGTATAAGTGGAAATTTTAGCGAGACGCAAATTTAGCGATTTCACCCTAAAAATTGGTTATTTATTTTTAGCGAGAGGTAATTTTAGCGATTTCAAAATGCTTACTAAAAAAGCTATTACAAATATAATGCAATTAATTTTTAGCGATATTCAATTTTAGCGATCTCGGGACCCTCGCTAATAATGCCAAAATTAAATCCTCGCTAAAAATTCTACATATACGGTATTGTGCACAATTTTCATATTTTACAAACTTAAAGTTCTGCTGCGCTACTCAAGAGCTTATTAGGTTAGCTATTAATTATTGCTAACCCTGAGCATTACAGTGTCGAATAAAAAAGTAAAATAGGAGGTGCACAATGGCAATATGTAATAATGATTCTGTGAAAGTTTCATGAAAATTCACTCAGTAGTATAAAGAGGAGTTGCGGATAAGAGATAAAGCGTAACAGACGGACGTACGGACGTACAGACGGACGGAAATTCCAATTACTATATACCGTCCCACTTTTCAAGCGGGGGTGTATAATAAAAAATAAGTTATTTGCTGTACATAGGGTACAGAAATCTTGGATTCATAGCAAAATAATATACTGAGAAAAAAAAATGACTTTGTGGTGGATAATTAGCAGAGGTGTATTTTGGTTAGTGGTGCTAAAAAATACTCAAACGATGTATTACGTCACCTAGGGAAAGTGGTGAAATAAAAACACTATATATATATTGATTATGGCAGCTTTATGTTCACATTTCTTAGCACTAATTAATGCAATGGCGGTATAGGCATCGTTTTCGTTTGGCATATTTGCAGTCAATATTTTTTGCAATCATGGTATGGCTGACGGAAGTTTCATTGTGTTAAGTCATCAATTAATGAATAAAAAAGCAACATGTTGCTATGCAGGTTCCTTTTTACGTTTTCCAACAAAACACGTTTGTTATTTGTCAGAGTAACTTGAAAGGTTTCTAACCAACAATAACGGGGATGTTGGCGCATATCAACGTTTCATCAAACTAGGGCTTTTTATCATGCCATCTCGTTAACCCTCGAGGTATTCCCACTAAAACCGATTTTATAATACAGTATGCAACCATACTCGTAGCTAAAACTGACAGAACATCTTCGCTCTATATTTTTCAGCGAGGTCGGCAGCTTTAAGTTCGTATTTATCTCACTCAAGTACATTTATGCATAATACTTTTTGCATGTTTTCGCCGGGAAAATATAGCCAGTGATTATTAACCTTTTTTACAAACAAAGATTGTTGATTGATTGTATAATGTTTCACTCATATGGAGACGTCACCGTTTGACGGTGAAGGGCTTCAAACTTAGACCTATATTCGGCACTGAGGGCAATTGAGCTGAATCGAATTAAATCAGGGCCTCCCGATCACAAAGCGAACGCTCTACCACTAGCTTACCGTGAACGGTACAAACAAAGATTATTAACTGTTTCTTAGTCTTATGCGCAAATAAGATTTTGAGAATTTTTACTTTTACCTTTGAGGAGTATGAACATATGATTTTTAATAAATGATAAATTATCAGTCATAATCACAAAGTTGTTGGGTAACTTGTTGATTAAAGATGAATCTAAATGATAACAATGCTGGAAAATACATTCGAATTTATAGTTTTATTTACTTCAAAAGATAACTATGCGTTTCTTTTTTTCTTTTAGTATATATTAAAACTGCATGTAGTTGAGATTAACATGCAATATTTATCATTTTAAACCGAATGATCTAAACATTCACATATAACAGAATACACGTATCTCATAAATTCTGCGCAGTCAATATTTTTGTGAACATCGCCCATCGTCAAGCAATGTTGACTGCTGCTACGCTGGAGGACATGGTTTCTTCATTTAGAAGCTAGTAGTCTTTTGTAACACATGTTCTCGGGAAATCAGGTTCAAGTTATTTACATAAAAGTATTATATAAAGAAATATAAAAATTTCTTCTTTTTCTGATAACTCCATGAACGTTAGCTTAAACAATGATTGGTTTAAGTTTATCACATGATATACACGTATTATATGACAGCTTATAGATCTGAGAGCATGTTTTACGTATGAACAATTTCTAAAACGAGGTAAATTATTGACAAATAAAAGTTTATGAAACAAGAATATCAGCAGTCTTTTTTAAAGTCATCATTTCTTGAGTTTTATGGTCGTTACACCGACCTTATACAATCTATCATTGAGTCAAATGCTGACTAACGCTTTTCATAGTTATTCTTAGTCCATTATTTATATATTGAATTGACGACGGATTTTTCCGTTATATCCCAATCATGACAGGGAGCACACGGCGGCGGGTATGACCGGTCGGCAGGGGATGCTCATTCCTCAATTGCACCTTATTCCACCTCTAATGTTTGAAATGTCCATGACTGCTTCGCTCCTATTTTGCATTGCTTTATGAATTTTTGAGCGTAAACACTGCTCGTTATCTCCATATATTTCGTATAATAATTTAGGAATTTTAAATATCACACACTATGCAACGACAGTCAATATACATGTATGTATGAAATAGATAGCAAGAGGTACAAAATATAAACGTTCTATTGTAAACAAACTTGTTTCCATTTATTTTGTGATAGTACTAAATTTGATAATATTTATATAAAGAGCATAACTTAAGTAAATTAAAAAAAGGATGATATATGTTATATAGCAAGCATCATTAGTATAAGCTCAATTCTCACAAATATCCAGAATGGTCCAGGTTCAAAGTTGCTCTATATTTATTAATCCTGTGAAGATCTTCTTTTTCCTTCGCTTCAGTAAATTTCTAATTCTTGCAGTTTTTTTTTTTTCAATGTGTACATCAAAATAATAATAATAATAATAATAATAATAATAATAATAATAATAAAAGTATCGAATTCAAATCGATAAGTGAAATATATTGCAATAACTTCCACATATTTGAACAACGTCTTTTTTCAACATTTTTCTTAACCAAATTTAATTTTATGATTGTAATGATGAATTCTCATCAGTATCTGAGTTTCTTCAGGAATCAATCAGTTTAGATTGTCAGTCTTTCCAGAATGAACAACAGTTTATGTTATTTTTTTTTACTTGAGATCTATATCAGTCCTTTTATCGAGAATAAAATTGTGATCGAATGCCTCTGTATCATACGCATCGTTCAAGCAGTCGTCATGGTTTAATACATTGGAAGTTTGGACATTACCATCCTCTGATCAGATTTCGTTTTCATCCTTCAGCGCCTTCCCCGACAAGCTGAGATAATCGTGTGGAAGAGATCTACTTATTTAAAAAGTCAGGTATTGGTTGTCATCTTTCAAAGTTGTTTTTGGAATGTCTGGGAGTCTCGTATTTTGTCGGCCCTTTACGATTGAATTATCCCTTATTGCCTTTCCTGATGTGTATAGATACTCATGTGGCAGGGATCTACTTATATGTGTTAGGTACTGGTTGTCATCTTTCATTGCTTGTTGTGGAATGTCTGGGAGTCTTATATTTTTTCGGCCCTCTAAGACATAATCGTCAGCCACCGAGTACTAAAAGTATGCAAACTGAGAGGAATTGGGTTTCTGAACATAGAAATAAATGCATTTTATTTATGTTTTCATAAAACTAACAAAGGTGTATGAGTTGCTAAATAGCTAATTATGGCCTTTGTAAAAAAAAAAGATAAATACATGATTGTGTATGTTCACTTGATCATGATTTAAGTGAAAGTAATTATGTACTTTTCAGCCCTTCATCGTTCGGGTGTATAATTGTTAGCTTTTCTATTAATTGAGCGATGGTTTGTTGATCTTCATCCTATTCTCCACTCATAAAGATATGTTTAGAATTCGAACACAAAATAAAAAAAGATTAGAATAAATTTATAGTGCGTGAGACTCTTGCATATCCAGATCACTAGATGTTGAACATTGTATCTGAGTAGAATTAAAAAAAAATTAATCATGTAATATTTTAATCGTGATGAATACAAATAAAAAGGATAAAAAGAAACTGTGACAATATTTAAAACAATCAGAGATATACTTTCTCATCATTACTAGATAAGATTCCTCTCATTGTACGAACAAAATCAAACTAGTAGTGTGATGAAATAAAATAAAAATGCAGCACAACATAAAGAAATGAGATACGTATCCCAAAAGAGTAAAATGCATTTCGAAGACTAAGTTGTGTTAGTAATTGTTTTAATTTCATAATATCAAAAGAAAATCGTTTGATGGCAAAGAAAATAAAAATTCTCGCACATTTTGAGAGGGTGATTTAAAAAAAAATCTTTACACATTGCTACATTTTTTAATGTAATTTTTCACTAAGCTCTAAATATTAAACTTTTAATATTTCTGTACATTGAATAAGAAAGCTTACATATAAGATAATCTATGTTTATGTCTTCATAATTTAGATTTCTTACTATATTCATGATAGCACTACATAACCTTCTTAGATTTAGAACCTAATCCGCTTTTTCCTTCAATTAGTAGCTGCTAAATTTCCTATTAAGGACAGATGATACAAACAAACTTTTATCAACAAATTTGAAAATAACAACTTGGGGCATGTTTAAATTAGTAAAATGAATAACATTCACCGCGTATTTTTTAATTTTTTATTCAGATTTGCACAAAAATGGAATTTGCAGTGAAATATATATTTGTACAGATTAATAAGGACGGTTTAAGAAGGACAGGCTTTTGAGCATCACGGAAGGTTTATAATTTCTTTATATTCTAGAAATTTATTATTTGCATCATTTGCAATGAAATAAGGCCAAAAAATATATACCAATCCGGGTATCATTTTTTGTATCATCTGTCCTTAAGTTGATCACTTAATTGTTAAGATTCTATGTCTATGCAGTAACACCGCGGACTGATTTATTAGCCATTGAAAAAGCGCGATAGGTTCTAAGTAAGTTAGATCATATTAAGTAAAATTTTAGTGATTAAGAAGGGGGCTCGGTCGCTTCGCTCCCTCCGCCCCTTCTTAATCACTAAAATTTTACTTAATATGATCTATTACATTTACCTGTTTCAAATATTGACGCCATATCGTAACCTCGCCGTGGGACAAACTCATTTAATTGAATAGAATGGTTTTTGTTTGTTTTTTTTTTTTATATGAGGTATAGATTTTTTTTTATTCTTTAAGAGATCTATAATATAAAATTAAAAATAACACAACTAATAACACAAAAATATTTCTTTTAATCTTTTGAAAGAAGCTGTTCTGATGATTCTGAATTTCTTTTTCGAAAGAATCGTTTATGACATGATTAACTGATGAGTCATTAGTTCTGAGTAGTAAAAATTTTATGTTAAGGTAGCACATAAACGTTTCGTGAGCAATGTTATTAATCATATAAAGAGCAAAAATATGGCAAAATACCGGTTTTTCTGCTCCTTCACAATAAACGCCCTCGTCCTCTTTTAAACATGGAACTGACATGTTTTCCGTAGAAACTTTTTGTAGGTTATGAGAGACACTTTTAGTTTCTTTGTTTCTTTTCTCTCTAATTTTACCATTCCTATATGCAATGTATGATAAAAACACTTGATGAAAAATTCTTTTATTTCGGGAACATTTATAGAAAAAACTAAAATCATTTAGTAGGCAATCTCATCAGAATATATAACTTTTCTACACTTCGTACAACCGTTTCTCAAAATAAATTTAAATATCGGCATTGCTACCATAGACATATACTTTTTTGATAGAAAAAAAGATCTGGAATTTTTTTTTTTTTTTTTTTTTGGGAATATTATTTTTTAAGCCACTCTGCTTATACATATTAGTACTCTATACCGACAGTTTACACTGAATTAAGAAGATGCTAGAATTTCTCATTGTCAGTATGTGTAATGAGTATTCTTCAAAGAACGATTTTGTATAGGCACTAACTGACGTGGTTTTTATTATGATTTCTATTCATATTTCTATAAAGCAGCCTGAGAATATATTTAAAAACTACGCCCGAAGACAAAATTGTGTAAGTCGTAATAGAGATCTATCAACCAAGTTTTGTCAATTGAAAATAATTATTTCCGTTTAAATGTAGACTAGATATATTTAAAACTTAAGCCACAGCAGAGTCTGTCATTTCTACTGATTATCTGGGTGGGTTTTTTTCGGACTATGAACGATTATGTCAAAACATGATGACCTTATCTTTTCAACCGTAAATTTATTTGGTAAATCATATAAAATACTGTAAACCAATTTTTATTCGCGACGACTTTATTTCGCGATTAACCAGGAGTAAACTAGTTAGCGACGACTAATTTTCGCGATCAAGCCTTTTTCGATCAGGGTCCAACGTTATAAAACATACTTAAGTCTGAGAATTCTCTCAAGTCTGAGAATTTTCTCAAATCCAAAATTCTCAGACTCAGTTGCCGTCATAAAAAAGTTGAGAAAAATAAAATTCCTTAAACTCTGCTTTATTGTGAAATTCTCAGGTGAGTAATTCTCAAGACTTGAGTTGAGAATTTTTATGAGAATTCTCAAAGTTTTATAAAGGCGGACCTCTGTTTTAAATAGACAGAGAAACGTTAAGTACCTGTTCGCGGCGAGAATTATTCGCGATGACGAGGCTGTCACGAACTTCGCGAAAATTTCTCGCACGCGAATAAAAGTTGGTTTACAGTAAATACTACTGATAATTAATACTGCTTTGAGTGCATGCAATTAAAAAAATGCCGGGCTTGTGACAGATAAGTTGATGTTACAGGGTTTTTAAACAACCTCAGATCAGAAGATTAGAAATTTAAAATTATGTCCCTGTTAGAATGACCTCTTTACCAAGTATAACCTAAAACTGGATCATATTTTGGCTGCAAAAAGTTATTTCATACCAGTTGTTATTTGTTTTGTTTTTGTTTTATTAGGTCTTTCCACCTTTCTGTGGAAAGACCTATTGATATTCTTCTGTTTATTATTCTTTTTTTTTTTTATTATTTTTCCGCCGCATGTTTTTTTTGTTTGAAGATTTATCGAAAAGATTTATAGTCCATCAGAATGTACTCCGTAAAAGATTATTGCAGTTCACCCTGCGTAAATGAACCTTGACCCCTTTCGGAGTTACGACCCCTTTCGCAAGAAAAGCTTGTTATCGCTACTCCTCAGAAACCGTAAACCGCAGAGGTATGAAACCTTCACCAATGTCTTCGACTAATTAAGGGGACTCTTCAATCTATTCATTGCGAAAGCATTCGCTGACCCCTTCAATGAGTTATTGCCCCTGAAACTTTTTGAATTTTACAAATAATTAAAAATTTTAAAAACAAGAAGTCGTAGAGACATGGGACCAACTGCATAAGATTTATTGACCTTTGACATTATAATTCTTGAAAAGGTCAAAGGTCAAGGTCATTCCAAAATTGAGAAATTAAGCTCTTTTTGTATCTCTTTTGTCTTTTAACATATACTTAATGTCTATGCATCTTTAATATGTCCTTTTTTAACTATTTCAAAGATTCCATTCTAGTCCCCTAAGATTAAACCTTTTAAAAGTTATTGCCCCTTGTACAAAAAACATTGTTATCGCTACTCTTCCGAATCCATAGAATGTAGAGACACCAAACCTTCTCTAATGTCTTCAGGGTCTTTAGGCCTAACTTCACTGCATAGTTGCAAAAGGATCTGATGACCCCTCATATGAGTTATTGCCCTTTAACTTCTTTGTACTTACTATTAAACCTTGTAACTTTAAAACTATAAGACAGAGAAGCATGGGGTTAATTGCATTATGACCCTTAACCTTTGACCTTGAATATTTTTTCAAGGTCAAAGGTCAAGGTCATTTCATTTTTTTTTTAATTTTTATTTTTTGATATCCTTTAAGACAATTTTGGTTTTTTATTCATGGAATTTAATATTAAAACAAAATTAAAATTCAAAGAAGGTGGAAAGACCTCTTATTGTTCTTTGAACAATAAGTCTCCTAGTTATTATTATCTTTTTTTTTTTGCATTTATTTGAGCATGAAAAATTCTGGCTATTCGATCAATGCATAAGGTCATCAATAAGTGCGATAGATCAAGCGGTTGCCTATTCCTCCTAGACATCTGATTCAAACGTAGAATATTTCGGAGAACCTTGTTAATTCGATATTCACAGATTTAAATTATTGGTTGTTTTCATTAGATTGATCAATATTTGTTTTCTTTACCTTCTGTAATAAGCTGCCTTAAAAAAGATATATTCAAATGTTAGACAACCCCAAAAAAACAATAAAACACAACTAAGAGTAGTTTGTTTTTCTAATAAAGTTACAACATAAAATTAACACTAAACTGAAAATTTATAAGTCAACTATTGCGATTTGAAACTCACTTTGTGCGTTTAATTTTTTCATGAACAATGCACATTAAAAGACTCAAGTCCCAATCGCAGCTGCAATTAAATGGGTCAACACTAAAACACCTGCAAGAATAAATACTATATAAGACGTGTATAGCTTTACGTCAAGAAGTATAAGATTTTATTCTTCATGAACAGAACTCTTGTTATTCATTTAGATCGATATATGAATTAAATTAAGTCATTGTTAATTCCTTATAGAAATTATGTTTTATAATATACATGCTTATACAGAAAGGCAAAAAACAGAGCCAAAAACAAAGCAGTGGGATATAATGTGTTGTCTGGAAATTTGCTCGAGAACGGCTATGTAAAATAAACAGGCAGCAATTTCAAAGGTTTTCTCGCACAAAGTTTACAACTGCACATTACCAAAAGTATTCCTAGATTTTCCGTCGGGACACTTTTCACATTGTTCCGAGGTAAGGTTGATTAAAACAAATATTTTATCCTTAAAGAAAGGCTTTGAAGGTTTTACATTTTAACATAGTTCGATAGTCATTATAAATACGAATAAAATGATATACATCACAGCTACCATCTCTCTTGCCGATTAGAGATATTACTAAAAATAGCTAAGTTTACACCTGTGAGCTCGCACTGAAATTAGCTGTTTACCGGAAGTGACGTGTGTGACGTCACAAGTGTGACATGCAGAATATTGTATAGTCTAAAATGAAGAGCGAACTAGCATTAGGTCATGTAAAATTTTTAAATCAAACGTTTTTAACGCATGCAGACAGTACGTTAGTTTTATTTTCTGAATACTAGGTCTAATTTCATTTCTGGCAAAAACAATATAGTTCCGTACTTCATGTATAAATATTGTAATTAAAATTAAATGGGTTGATTACCCCCCCCCCCCCCCCCCCCTTACCCAACACCCCCAATTTTTTTTTAGATGCGCAAGTTTTTAATCACTACGGAAAGGGAAGTCTTTCAAAAATTAATTCCAATTTTTTTTCTTTATCCTCTCTTATATTTTTTAAATTAATTATTATATTTTTCGTTTCGATTTTGCTTCTCCATTTTTGTTTTTACACATTTAATTTACTAAAAATTTATGTTTTAGTTCGACCATAACTTTGAAAACGCTGGTACAAGCAGCACATTCCCCCTTCTAAAAAAAACATCGCTCATATATCTGATCAATTTCATTGTATTAATGAAGTGCCTTATTATTGTTTTGAAGTTCAGTAAAGTGCAGGGTGCATGTGCAGATTTTTTTTCAAACCTCATTAGTTCCGTGTTCTTTAACAGTCATAGATGGCATTTGCAGAGGATCATGATAATTTGATATTTGGAAGCTGTGCACCCCGTTTTTTAGTGTTGACGTAGACCTACAGTGTATCTCAATTTACACTTCGATTGTTTTTAATCACTGCTTACATGTATATTTACGCTTGTGAACTCTTAATAATATTGTCTGTTGACTTCCTTTTTTATCTATGTAAAATAATCTTTAAAAAGCCATTTCACACAAATGAAGTTCCTTTCTATACCGGTCTTACTGCATATGATTTTTTTTTCAGTCAGGAATGAAAGAAATTTCAACATTTTTATTTTAAGATTTACCCACCCTGTCATAACCTGACTATAAGAATGAAAAATTAAATAGGATTTTTAAAATTTTAACTACGTTTTTTTTCATAAAATCCTAAAATCATCATTAATTTGTGACTTTATTAATATTATTTGTGGGGGGGGGGGGGGGGGGGGGGGTATGGCGTACACACATCACTCGGAGCTCCTGTGATGGTTCGTATACATGTTTGAATGGAGTGTAGCGGAGTAAGCCCAGGATTGCCGATTGTGCACATTATGCATTATGATCTATCATGCACAAATAATTCAAACTTTTGATTACAGTCACAAGCTACCGTGAACAGCGTGTATATTGTACATTGTAAATTGTTTGGATTTTCAGGAGTGAGACCCATTTCACACCATCTTTACTTAAATTGTCTTGTTCTCCTTGACAATGAATATGAATTTAATTGATTATTTAATTTACATGTATGTGTAACTGTGTATCAACTTCTATATTACAGTAGTGTTTAAATTGGACATCTGTAAGGTATCGGTAGAATGCCATCCGGGACCTTTGACTTGTACAATAATGAATAATATATAGGCCTATATAATGAAACAATGTACAAACACGTGAATAAGGTGGCACATAAAAAACAAATTATACATGTCATTTATATTTTAACAAATTCAGTTTACCCTGAAAGTCGACTTTAACATCTGACTTCGAATTGATTGTGTTGCATCAATCCTAGATATATACGTAACCTGATTTTTTTTTAGAGCTGAACAAATTTAATTCCTAATTATTTTAATATGAGAATAAAAACATTTTTTTTTCTTTCTACAAAATTGTAAAACATACAAATTTTATCTTTTAAAATTTATACCACTGCAAGCACCGAAGTAACGCGACTTAATTCTAAATTGATTTTAAAAAGTCATGCATCCAGTTTTACTGGAGGGGGTGGGGTTATTTGTTAAAAAAAATATTGCAAATCAGAAAAATAAAATGACAATGAAAAAAATATTTATTAAACTTATTAAACCACATCAAATGAAAAAAATGACCTCAAAATGCAATCATTAGGGACTAACATTATTCATGTTGTCAACTGTTTATGCCTTTATAGTTCAAGTTTTAGGAGGGGGGGGGTGTTAAATAGGTAATGTGTCACATTGTGTTTTTATTTAATATATTTTTTAAAATAATGATTTAAAATGCTACTTGTGAATATTTTCTATCGTTTTACTCACATACCAATCAATAGTATAAACGTAAATAGTATACTTTCTCGGGTACCACATCGTTTGTGGTCGATTCTTCTTCGTTAGATCTAGATAGCGTAGGGCTCAAAACGAAAGGGTTCTACTACAATTTTTTTGTATTATTGCATAGCAATGAATCCTCATCAAAACGTGACGATCCACAAGAAATTTCTAGCGATTCTTTCTCTAATGGACTATCAGAATTATTCGAAACAGCGTTTTCTTTCATTTATTCACCTCTCACTTGAGGGAAGCGAGACACACTTGTGACGTCATTTAACTTTATTGCATTTAAACCGGAAGTGACATTGTCAAGGATTATCGATCGTTTTCACAGGTGCAAATTCAGACGTTCAACATTGATTATCTTTGAAACGGCGGCACCGATTTTAGTCGGGTTTTCGCCAAAATGTTTTATAAAGTAGGTTTAGTGAATTACGTTGATATGTAAAAGTACCGTGGCCTATCTTTAAGTCACCCTCACAAAATGCTAACCATATTTTAGGGGTAGATTTTGTTAAAATAACACTGGTTCATTTCATATAGGAACGGAGGTCTCAGATTTCCATAATTATCCATTCTTAAAAGCAAAATGACGAACAAAGACTACGCACTTTATATAAAAATATGTCTTCAAAACACTCCTTTTATTTGTGGGCAATAGCCAGATTATCAAATGGAAAATGAAAAAAAAAATCTTCCATAAAAGACGTTTATCATATTGTCAAAAGTTACTCATGAATCGATACAAATACTCCAATTGTACACTAAAGTAAATCGATACTCAAATGTGCTTAAGATTTCGCTAGACAAAATATATGTACGAATTTTTAGGAGACCAAGTCTTAAAAAATATGTCAGAATTTCTATTGGACCCACTTGTAGCCAGTTTTTATTTTAACGATTAACATATTTTAAAATTTATGTGCAGTCGATTTTATTTAAATCATTGTAAATAAAAACAAGAAAACACTTGCTTTGACCTTCAGCTCAACATTATACGACATGGACAGCAAACTATCAATTTGCAATAGTTACTTCCACTCATATGTCGACTATACATATATAACTCAGTGAAATAGAAATAAAAGATTGATTGGTTGTATGTTGCATAACGTCCCTCTCGAGAATTTTTCACTCATAGGGAGACGCCACCACTTGCCAATGGAGAGCTGCAAATTTTGTCCTATGTTCGAGACTTAAGGCCATTGAGCAGTGAAGGATCTTTTTTCGTGTTAAGACATTCTGAGACATGGGACCCCATTTTATACGATTTCTTCCGAAGGACTGGTCTCACAGGTCCACGAACTCAGTAGGATTTGAACCTGTGACGCAAAGAATCAACTTCGTACTTCGCGACTCTAGATCTGGAGCAAAAACGACACAAGCTATTGAAAAACATATTGCCGAATCAAGGATACGTACCGTCTCAGATAAAGTCATTATTTCGTGAAATTTGATACAATGACCCTTTCAACAAATCCAGTCTGCCATTTAATCGAATCCTGAATGCCTTTTCAATAATAATTAATACTCATTATATTATCAAACGTAATTGGTTATTATGTAATATATTTTCAGTTTTTTCCCAAAACGTAAGAAGTACACGGCGGTCGTCACTGGTCATCAGTGGATGCTTAACAATTCTCGACACCTTAATCTACCTCTTTTTTTTAAGTTTTATGAAAGTGTTTGTTTTTTATTCTGAACGGTATTTTAAAGTGGACTTTTGAACATGATTACTGTACCTTATATTTTTGTTTCATCTCTATGATCAGCATTTATCTAATTTTCTCTAACGATTAACATGATTTACATATTTACATGTCTAATGTTTAATAGGAAAAATATCAATCTTCGGGCAGAAATGACTCTGTGCAACTGAGCAAGAAACAAACGTTTTGATAGTCAAAAAGTCTTTATCATAAAGTACTTAGTATTTCGTTTAGTATCATCATAATGTACTTTTATGTCTTTGTCTCTGGATTTAAACCAGCACAAACAAAAAAAGTCAACTGTTAATTCAAACCAAAGAAAAACTAAAGAGGAAAACAGTTTTATCATGAGGGACTACAAAACAAAATAATTTTGTAGGGGGGGGGGGGATGGCATCTCATGGTAGAAATGACCTGTACGATTGATTAAGATAAAAGTTCTTTTGATGAAATATACGAGAACCCTAGTCAATAGAGTCAATGAGGAATGCAACCACAAGTCTGTTGTTCATGTAGATCTCCTAGGAAAATTAAGGACACACAGTTCGAGAAGGACAACATGGTTAAAAATATATGGTATATTTCTACTGGGAGAAATCAAACGAAAAGAAGAACTATTTCGATTGAAAACCACGATTCAATTACTTTACTGTCATGTTGCAAATTTTGAATTTACCGGGTGGCAGTAAATACAAAATTTCTCGTAAATTTTGTATTTACTGCCACCCGGTTAACTCAAATTTTACAATATGACAGGACTGTTAAATGCAAGCACGAGTGTCGAAGAGATGTACATGTATAAGAGTTTTGAAAAATAAACGTTTGTTTTTGTGCACGATCTAACCTGAACAGATATTTAGATATATTCCCCTAACAGAAAATTGTCCTATTTCGATTCGAAAACAATTGTAATCCCATGAGTATTTAAGCATTGCAATTAGTTTGCGCGGATGTTTGAAACAACCACATTCAATCGAAAAAATGAAGTAAAATTATTAGTTTAAGAAGATAGGCTATGTGTATTCTTAGTTATAACGATAAACATACAATTACTAAAATGAAATAAGAAGAAATAATAACCTGGCTTTACTGAAGTTCCGGTACATCCAGAAGAAGTAACTTGTAATCCATTGTTTTGTTGATTCATTTTTTCGTCACATCTTCGTCTCATACGTTTCATGCGTCTTTTTGTTCTTATTAAGCCTGTAATTTCAGAATCTTATGTGTTCATTTCAATCCATCAGCGTAACTCAAGAACACAACTGTGTATATACTTTCTTCAAAAACAGGTTTGAGATATATATTAACCTTTAATTTTCTTTTAAACTAATTATTTTTTTTTTTTAATTCTGCTAACTATTGGCATGAAAGATCAAATTATATCACGTTAAAATATATCATCTTCATGGCTGGTCTGGCATTTAAGGTAAATAATATGCTTATTGTTTTAAAAAAATGAATAATTCTAGAACAAATTTGATATAAGCATTATAATTTTGATATAACTTGCATTTTTCAACCTCTTTTGGGCTACATGTAAATGTCTTTTCATTGAGTGCATATCTGCATACGACAGAAACATCATCATTTCCATCATCGTCATAATCATCAGCAGCAGTAGTTCCATCATCGTTATCATAAACAGTGCCAGTAGCACCATCATCATCGTTGACATAATCATCACTTTTATCTTTAGAATCTAATGATTTATTTTATTACTTTTTTAAGTCGTTGAATTAATTGATAACCATTGCTATAAAATCCCTAAAATATCCTTTTTAAGTCAAATGTCTCGCCTGCACAGTGCAGGGTAGGTTAGATTTTTCACCTCGTTTGAGAGTCGCACATGACTCACGGCAATAAGTGTCCATTTGACAGGGAATGCTTACTCCTCATAGGCACCTAATCCAACCTCTGGTATTCCCAGTGCCCCAACTGTTATGCCTCTTCAAAGATTGGTAATGTTTTGTTTTTAGATTTTTGAGACTCTGCTCTTTATCTTCATTTTTTTTCATTTCTTAAACTGACATTGTCATTTATTCTTCATTGCCCTCATATTCTCCTATATTTTATCTTTTCATCTTTTCTCAATATTTGGTATAATGTCTAGAACATTTGTTTAAAATGTGCAAATATAGGAAAAATCTAAAAAAATAAATAACATGTTTAATATTTGATCAAGGTTATTTTTTTTGCTGAAGACATTCAGGTACTGTAAATCACTTTTTATTCGCGAGAACTTTATTTACGCGTAATTACGCGAGACAGTGTGCTCGCGAAAATTTGATTCTCGCGTATAATATTATTCCTTAAGATTACATAGAGCAATAACCACAATTCGCTAAAATTTTGTCTCGCTAATCAAGAGTCAATGACTATCTCGCGAAAATAAGGTGTCGCGAAAAATTAGTGATCTACAGTACTTTTACACCCTTTTCTGCAAAATCCCAAGTGCAAGTTAAAGCAATTTAAAGTTGATTGACTGATTGATTGTAGTTTAACCTCCCTCTCGAGAATTTTTCACTCATACACCTATGAAGACGCCTCCACTTGCCGGTGGAGATCTGCAAAGTTTGTCCTTTACTCGGCACTCAGGGCCATTGAGCAGGGAGGGATCTTTTTCATTTCAGCACATACTGCGACACAGGACTTCGGTTTATACGGTCTCATCCGATGGACAAGTCTACACGTCCCACAGTGGGATTCGAACCCGTGAGGTAAGGATCAACTCCTGACTTAACGACTCTAGAGCAGAGGCCCTAACCACTGCAGTAGTTAAAAATGGTGCTGTGGAAAAAAATAATGAAAGTCAATTAAAAACAGTTGAAAGAAGTTATAAACTGAAACTGTACAGTTGAATTCCCCATTGTAGAAAAAAAAAATTGAAAGGGGGGGGTATCGTATTTTTTCTGTCTTTTCTGTCTGTTTTTCTGTATTTTTTTCTGTTTCACTTGGCGTTTCTCTGTTTGTCTGTTTACCGTCAAAGTCTTTTGTTTATTGGAATCTATGGCTTCCATATACTGAAAATGCATTTTATATGTAAATATCTTGAGACAAGACATGTCTTTAAATACAAAAAATCATGGAGTTTCAACTATTCCAACCACTGAAACCTTTGTCATAAATTTTAAATGTTTGAAGCTCGGAATTTAAATATTATGTGTTTTTCTAGTGTCAAGACCTTGTTTTCGATACATTTTTCACCTAGACCTCGGGGTTTGACCTACATGTTAAAAATCTTTAACCTTTGCCAACTAGGTTCTGCTAGACCTTTCATAACTCACAGGCATATTCCCTGTGTACACGTTCCTTAGGCCTGTTTATTTTCAACCTTTTTGACATACATGTGAAAAATTTATTGATAGGTTTTGAACCGATAATGGAAGACATTTATTTTAGCAACCTTCCACTTGATCTACCATACGGAGGTTATAGAGTTTTATATGTACATATTGCTTCATCAAAAATTATTAATTAATTTTAAAAAAGTGGAATTGTATTGTTACATTAAAGGAAAAGCGAAAATTGGGTATATCCAGTAAAATAGGTAAAACTAAATTTAAAATGGTTTATTTTTATGAACAAGAGACTGAATAGTTCCGGAGATCTTAACTTACCATTATCAGATATGTTGGTGTTTAGAAAATCTGCAATACATGAACTGTTCCATATTTCTGCAATCTTTCTAATCGTTGTATGTATTAATTCTCTGGTCTTTCATTATAAAAAGAAATTTCAATTTTTTTGGCGAGGTGTCTCAATAGCATACATAAATATTTCTTTTCCTTAAAATAAGAAGTTACCAGTATCATATCCAGGAAATCAAGTGTTTATAAAAGTTAAAAAAATTAAACTTATTTATTAGCCATTTATCATACTCAGTATCATTTCTGATTGCCCCTGCATTCCATAGAGTCATCATATCTATCAAGAAAAAGAATTCATAAAAATAGAGAAAGCAAATATTCATTTTTACATACGATTTTGTTTATGCCAACACCAATAACTTACAAAATAATATTTCCAAACAATTATGATTCGCACATATCATGACGACCTGTTTTCCTACAACGCAACACTTTTTTGCACGTCACACTTCCTATTTTGTTTTATTCCTGTTTTTTAACAAAGTATGTTTCCCAAAAGAACAGAATCAAAAGATCATTTCATCGTTAAAATGAGGAAGGAAGTGTAAATATAGTTACATTTGAAAAAAAAAGTTCCATATCATCAGGAAAATACATTTCTGGGGTTTTTTTTCTTTGATTTAATGCATTCATTAAGTTACAAAAAATAATAATAAAAATACATTGCCAAACATCTTCAACATCTTTTTTTAAGTTTCAATAATCCGACAAATTAGAAATTGTATTGTGCGCAGTTTGAACTTTAAACACTAGCAAGCTATAATTAACAATTACCCTACATTACATTATCCTTTATCTTTTTGTAATTTTTTAATTTGAAGATTGTTAAAAGGTATTATTTTCAAATTACATAGATATGCTTTTTATAAGTCATATGTTGCAAATTATCTTTTGGGGAACCGTCAATATTTCATGATGATTTCACAAAATTCAAGAGTTACTTGGAAATAGGTACTTGTTTTTAAGTACCTATTACTAGGTCAAACCATAGTAAAGGATCGATGGAATTGATCAGTTATAATCGTTTATTAAGTACTGTAAGCAAAAATGATTAATATATTTTCCTTTTAGTAGAGAAGAATGATCTTTTTTGAAAAAAAAAACAAATCATTACGGAGATAAATGAATGTAAGTGCAGTGTCATACACATGGAACAAAGGTCATTGTCTAAAAGCAAAACACAAATAGAAAAAAAATAATTCTCGAATAATTAGGCTTTTAATCCAGTTCCAACAACCTACCATTTTCATCATTCATAAAGACAAAAGAGATCAGGCTCAACTCACAATCAGTTATAAGATGTAGTGATTTTAATTTTAATTTTTGTGATTGGTGGAAGTGTCCTTGTGTATATGTAATTGGTTTTTAAGGGTTGTAATTGGCCACTCGGCATAATTAATATTTGATACTTTCTTTTTTTAGACTGTTGTAAATGAATGTTTTATTATTAGATGAGGGTTTTTTTTTTTCTTTTCGGAGTTTTACCCACAAAACTCATCAATTACTAAGGACATCTCATGTACTTATAATGGATGTTATAAACTTTGATTTCGTTAACGATAATATAAGTAAAATAATTTTAACTGATTTTTGGTAATCTTATAATTAAAAATACATAGAAACCCATACACTTAGCAAAGCATCTGCTTTTCTCCACTTCCATTTGAAGCAAAAATAAGAATCTCCAATAGTATGTGGGAAAAAAATCCCTTTTGCTTTTTTCGGGAAACAATAAATGAAACCAGTTACGTAGACAGCTGGTAGAATTACCAGGTGGAATCGATCGTGAGACAAAATCCCCCGTCTTGATTTAAATACAAAAATAAATGTAGACAGGCATATTATTTATAGCTAATATATTAATTAAAAATGGAAATAAAAAAATAAATGTTACAGACAAGTATAGTATTTTCTACGAAATTAAGGATGCCTGCGATTGCCGGGAGGAGTTGTACTCCATGTTATTACGAGCAGGATACTTTTTGTTAATAACATAATATAATATAAATGTGCCATGGTTTGAAAATCATTCTGGAATAAGTGTGCGAGTTCTTAATTCACAAACACATGTGATGCTTAAGCCTGTTGAAATTTGAATTCTTAAATATTTCGATCAATGCTCTTTAGTATTTGTTATTCATTATGAATCTTATATGATGAAATAAGTATGTCTTTAAACAATTGTTAAGGTGTAAAATACAACATTTTTTGGCTTAATTAAATTAAATTTATTTACTTACTATTTAAATAGTTTTGGATTGAAACCTTATAATCTTTCATTTTAGTAACGATAGTTGGTTTAATAACAAAACTGGTTATCTCCTGACAGTATATTAAATTGTGAATGTGCTGAAGGAAAACCCGAGGTGCAGAGCCTGTGCCCCTGATAGACTCTGCATATTCATACTTTTTTTCTACTGTGTCCTATGACAGCCAGTATAGAATCGGTAATCCTTTCTGTGTTTAGAATATATAAAATATATATATACCAGCGATAAGTATCCTCGTTTGATATATTTATCTGGCGAGTGCAAAATAAATATAATTTAAATAAAATCATAGAATGTTAAAACTTAGCTCCGTTAATATTTCTTATCGACAGCATTGCTTGACGCATTCATATCATATATTTATTGTAAATATTTTATTTATTTTAGGTTATAAAACATCACAGATGATTTGCTCATAAAAACATCATTTGAGATCCATATCAGTAGATTTATCAAGAACGAAATAGTCATCAGTTTTGTCTGCAGAAGGAAAAGACGTCTTTAGGTTGTAATCTAACTTGTCAGAATTTGTGCTGTCCTCAGTTTTTAACTCTTTCTCACGATCTTCTGGGTTTAATCCTGTATATTTCACATTTTTATCTGTCTGTGAACCATCTTTTCCGGTCTGAGGGATCAGGTTATAATATTCATCTCTCTCAGGCTCTTGTGAAATCTCCGGGAGTTTGGAAAGCTTCCGACCAGATGAAGGGATAGATTTCGTGAAAGAATTTGATTTTGTTTGATGATCAAAATGAATTCCAGACTACAAGAGAATCCAAAATCATCATTTAAGTATTGAGGGGGTAGATTTGTTCAATCGATAAGTGAGATTTATGATTGAGAGATCTCACCATTTTGCTTCACACTTCATGATACGGCCCCTCAATGTGTTCGTGAATTATTGGTGGGATACTGATTCGAAACGTGTTTTTCTGTTGACTGTAAGAGGAATTAGTATAGCCCTTATTGCCCTCTGATTTATTTTTCGCATTTTTGTTGTAAAAATAAATTAAAAGATAGAATTTTTATTCAACTCTCTTTTATTACCTGATTCTACCTATACTACGACGTTCTCAAAGCATCAACGTACATACATGTCCGATCACTTTAGCCCTTTTATACAAAATCAGGTTATTTACTATATCTCATTCATCATTCCTTTGAAATGAAAAAATTACAAAACGAACAGCATTCAACGGCTGTTCAAGTTCAAAAGTCCATTTAAACGACAGAAATAAGGAGAACAGAACCAAAGAAGACCTCTAAAACACCATGGATGGAATGAGTTGCCATAGAGGAGTAAGCATCCCATGACGACCGGTTCATGTAATATCTGCAGCGTGACGGAAAAGGAAACACGACGTAGACAAATCAATTTGTAAATAATGGTCTTACAACTGTTATGAAAAAAGTCAGTCTTCCACTTAATTACACTGATTAAACTGGCTAACATTAGGCCAATGTATGGAACAGAGGATTTAAGAAATGTGGACTTCAAATCTCGAAATAATACCGAGTGATAGATTCAATAGAGCTGTTAAATTAAATTGAGATAGTGTTATTGTAGTACTTATAATGAAGTCATCTGTTTTTTTTTTGACTTTTAGTTTGGATTTCTTTTGCAACTCATTTTGATAAATAAATGTTGTGACAGTAAAAGGGTCATTAACAAGATTGAGAGATTATAGTTGTGAAGTCAAAATAGAGCCACGCAAAATCACAACATTCAATGGCGTTTTTATAATTATTAAAATTTAACATAAGACACACATACATGTATCAACTTCATGCCAAACGAATAAATTGTATTAGAATGGGAATATCATCGCCTGTAAAACACAGTTGGGGCCGTTAAATCAGGATTAACGGTCGCAAAAACCAATTATAAGATAGTTATTCCCTAATTTATTAACAATAAACAAATTATCGTGAAATAAAAGATTTAAACAAGTATCTTACCTTAATCTTCCTATCTTTTTCAGAACCAGATATAAAATTCCACAGCCTATTGCAGCCGCTAGAAGATGTGTGATCACCAGAATGCCTTAAAATTGAGGGAGTATATACGTAAAAATGGACATTTGATACAAGATTCTTTTAAAACGCTTACTACACACAAATTTTGTTACAAAACAAAAAAAATAAGTTATATCTGAAAAGCAAACTAAGGAAGTTTTAAAAAATTTTAAAAAATATTTTCAAAACATACCTTCTCCAGGAGACTTAGTAGAGTCCTCAGATGTGTAGATGTTTTGTGTACAATTATCATTGCGATCCAACCTTTTCCTACATCGTTTTAATATTTTTCGTGTATATTCCTTCCAGCCTGAAGAAAACGATATTGTTTAACTATAATTTCATTTAAATTATATTTTTTATATTGAAAGGATTCTCCGTCAGGTCAAATATATGTGGCGCAAATAACTTCTAAAAAGAGTTGAAAACTAAGTTTATCCCTTTCTTATGGTGTCAGGTCATTTTTCTCTAATTTTTTTTCTCTCCCAGGTTATTTCTCTCTCTTACCATTTCACGGTAGGTCATTTCACGGTAGGTCATTTCTATCTCCTTCCTGGGTCATTTCAACCCATTTTGAATCTGGTCTTATATAATTATTTACATTTCCATTCTTGTGTTATGGGGAGAAATTACCCGGATTCCTTTCTTATCGCTCATAATTATCTAAAATATTTTCCATTCTATCACTGAGAGATGTTCAAAATATTTTACTTCGATTTAGAATATGAACATGCTTACATTGCACGAAACCTTCTTCCATTTTATCACACCAGTCTCCATTTCTTCGTCTGAAGTATTTTCAATCACCGATGCTGTAAATAAAACTTCACAACTTAAAAATGTTTTATCATTGGAATTCTATTGTTTAAAAAAGTATAGTTTTTAGCATCGCTCTAAAACATTGTAATGATTGACATTCTCATTGGATTTGAAATATAAAGAAACATAAAAAAGGGAAAACCACGTTATACCAAACATTAAACTTCGTTTTCTTTCTTAATGAAAATTTTATAAGTTCTGGTACAATTTATAAAGATGTATTTTAAGAATGAAGAAAGACATTGCTTTTTTCAGTCAAGTTGACTGATTGAATATTGAAAGTTATCATCCTTTACTTTTAATCAGTCTTGACTGTTTAAATGGGCTTGCTTAAGAGTGCTTGTGTGTACAATAAGAATATTTTCTGAACAAAATAATTTTGCAAAAGACTAATGACAAGGTTAGTAAATTTAAGAGTTCCGTTTTTATTGGAAAAAGCAGCTGTAGATGATATTTACCTCTGGACTCTTTGTCTTTGGGAATGGTTGTATATAAAGTTAGTTTTTATATTGTTGATATTGGTAAATTTTTGTGATTTGTGATTTTGTGAAATCGTCAAATTTCAATGCCCCATTTTTGCTGTTATTGTACCTGAATCCTTGCCATCGTCAGTTTCCAGAATAGAATTGTCAGTTGGTGGGGGCTGTTTTCTCCTTGTTGATGGATTATATACCCCTTCTGAAATATTTACCGTAAAAGGACATGTTTTTTCTAACTTATTCTAATAATACTGAATACGAATATAAATTATGCTACTGAGATGACTAAGGCATATACCAGAAATTGATACCGTCGTCATATGCTCCTGTTCGTTATCCATTTCTGTAGTACCATTTGTCCTCATTTGTTCTACAACATATTCAAAAATGCCATACAAGTAATTTTAAACAAATGCAACGGCATTTAAGATTAATTGAAGAAAATATTTAAAAGAGCTCTTTAGAGATAAAATGCTAAAATTTACAGACACACTATTATGGCACGCCAAATTCACAAAAATGAGCTAAACCTAGTTTCACAATTGATAAATTAGGTTTATCGACTGTAAACTATAGTTTACAAACCGTGAACTATAGTTAACGATTCGTTAACTATAGTTTTCATCTGTAAAACTATATACAACGGTTGTTAACTATAGTTTATGAATGCTAATCTAAGTTTATCTGTCTGTAATAAAACCTTAACAATAGATTTTGTTGATAAACATAGATTCACGTCTGTAAACTATAGTTTACGATTATTAACCATAGTTTACAAATCGTCAAACTGTATTTATCAGATAATCTATGTTTTGCAATCGCAAATGATAGTTTTCGGTGTTAAGTATAGTTTACGGTTGTTAAACATAGATTAATGCGTTAACTATGGTTTACAGATGTAAAATATAGATTAACGTTCTTAACTATAATTTACAGTCCGTAAACTATAGTTTACAACCGATAAACCTTGTTTATTGATTGTGAAACTATGATTAGCTCATTTTTGTGAATTTGGCGTGCCATACACTATATAATATATCTCCACTATCTCTTATGAATTCCATATTGATAATGCTTAAACACCGCTAAGTAAGCCACTTGTACAAATTGTTGGGGAGTGGCTCTTACATCAGTGAAACATATAATGAGATAAATGAATGGGGTCTGAACTTGATTAGATTAAATTTAAAGTATAAATTTAATCAAGTACATGGCGGTTTCAGACCACAAGGTGTTATATATTATGTAATCAATTACGCCACATATTATGTAATCACTTTTTACATATTAATCGTATTTATAACTATTTCTAATTCTGTTGTGGATTTTTTATACTGATAATGAATAGTTAAAGCAACATACCTAAGTCTCTTGTTTATATGAAAATGGAGGGTGAAGGCTTTTTCTAGAAATTCTGCGATAGTGCAATTACTGTGAGTTGGGGTCACGACAGTATACGGAAATGTTAAGGAAATGAGAAGATCCACAGATTAATTATTTTATCAAAATGATTTATTTTGCATTGTCAATTGTACATAAATGATATTATATGACGGTGTGCATTGCTTTAACTTATTGTTCTTATCTTTAATGTTAAAAGAAAAAAAATGACGGATCAATTTCAATTGTTATAAGGTATAAGTGGAAATTTTCGCGAGATGCAATTTTAGTGATTTGTCCTTAAAACATGGTATTTAATTTTAGGCGAGAAGCAATTTTAGCGACTTTAAAATGCTCACTAATGAAGTTAATACAAATTAAACATAGTTTATTTTTAGCGATATTTAATTTGAGCGATCTCAGAACTCTCGCTAATAATGCCAAAATTAAATCCCCGCTAAAAAATTCTGGTTATACGGGGGGAGGGGTTTATTTTAACGATTTCATAAACCCCTCTGGCACGAGGGCAAGCGGAGTCCTACTTTAACGTGAAATTGTATTGTTCAAATGTATCAAACCTATTGATTCTGATTCATTGCAAGTGACTTTGATATCTTTCTTCTTGTCATCATTATATCCTATAAAGACCATGAATTTCTTCCCTCCTGCAATGAATGCAATATTCCAAGAATAGCAGGGCGCATCTTCTTTTTGGCAGTTTTCTTGGAGGTTACTTCCATATAGGTCCAATGTTTTGCAATCTAAATGTCGTAAATAGTTAAAATCAAGGCACAGTTCTTAGGCATTTACAAAATGCATCCCAATGAACTATTTAAAAATTCTTTTTATTGTCTCATATCAATTTATCATCAATCTCTTTCGATTTATTTCGAAAATGTACATTTAGATCTGGATCATACGCCATCTAATTTTCTTTACTATTTTTGTGGAGTTGTAAACCTGTTATAGTGGGGGGCAATGGACGACATGTGGTGTTCTCTATCTTTGTCGGCAGTTTTCCTAAGGTGTTTTCTAAATTCCTCAGACTGTAAGAAAACCATTTAGAATATTCTCCTTTAAAGTAATAATATATATTTAAATATATACATCAGGTTTATAGATGATTTTATTATGTAGGGTTAGCTTAATTTCAAACAATTTACTACATTTAGAATTTCAATTTTTTAAACAATGGAAAACGTACTTACAATCTCTGACCTAAATTCTCGTCTTCAGCGTCTAGGGATACATCAACCGATTCCAAATGTATCACTACATCTACAATTTAAGAATGGTTTAAAACATTCTGAAAATATTCAGTTTTTTTTTTGTTTTCTTTTTTTTTGTTTTCTAATTTTCCATTGTTACATACTTAAAAGTAATCCAAACAAGAACTTGTGTTTAAAACACTTCATGATATCCCTCTACAAAGAAAAACGTGTCCACATTTAATATTTCTCCCGAGTGAGAATGGTATCTTCCTTGTTTTCACGTCAATTTATAAAAGTATAAACGTGTTTGTTTCGATATTAACAGGAAGGTTAAGGAAAATGTACCTACTTACTTACATTGAGATACAGATACAGGATTGTCAGACGTCCGTACAGTGCATTGCAAGTTTCTGGGAAAACAGCTGTACAGTTAAATTCTGATAAATTACATCATCAAAATTTATATGTTTCTTAAAAAATCGCATTGGTTATGACATCATGAGGAAGTATTAACTGAGATTAAATGATAAATTATACGTATTTGAAAATAACATGTACAAGTATACCGAATAACCGCTGCAGGATCAGAACGCAACAAACAAAAACATCTTAATCCATCTCCTTAGGGAAATTAATTAACTTGAACAGTAAGGGTATTTTGATCTTTGATGACGATGAAAAACGTAATAGTTATCTTGATCCTTGTGTACAAAGGACGAAATATCGAAAGATACTATATATTTCTATGTACGTGGGAACGTTTACTTTACTCGTTCCCAGAGAAACACGCTAAAATTCAGTGTCGCTGAAGGCGACTTCAGTAAATATTAAATTCTGTAAATATATCCTCGGCGTTCATAATGAAAGCACAAGTTTTGCAGCATTGTCTGAATTGGGAAGGTTCCCTCTGCATCATGATATCGTCAGGTTGTTAATTAAAAGTAAGTAGAGATTTGAAAATTTGTCCATAGAATTTCCTTTACTTAAAGATGCATGTGAATGTAGTAAAAAGCTTTTTGTGAATGGAAAGAACTCATAGTTTGCATTTATACAGAAATCAAGAAAATTACTGAAAATTAAAAATTCTTTGTTATTTGTTATGGGAAATATAAATTTAAGTCATTTTGTCAAAAAATTTTATTAGATTATTATGTGAAGAAATGGTATACAAGTCATAATAGTTATGCTAATGGCAAATTATCGCGAGCGGTCCCGAAAAATTAAAATACCGGGTTTTTGGCCTTTTTAACCTTAAAATCAAATTCTACGATTAAAAGTTTTAAACTTCGTTACTTTCTATATATATATATATATATATATATATATATATATATATATATATATATATATATATATATATATATATATAATTTCAAAACAAAATGAAGAATCGGTACAGTTTTTGGCATATTTAAAAGTAAAAATCCAAAAATATCACAAAACATATACTGCAAGCACTTTCGCCATGTTCGGCTCTTCAGGCAGTTATACAAATGTCAGGTAGGTTACCTGGTAACGTCAAAAGCATCAAGTTCATTGTGACGTCATAATAGATGTAGGTAGCGTTAAGTTGGTGTAATTGTTAATGTACAAATCTTGCACTAACTTTCACACATTATACAAATGAAATTTCAAAATATAAAATATACAGTATCATTTGCAATTAAGTTTGGGTTTAAAGAGTTTGATAAAATAGTCTTCTTTTGTAGATGCTTTGTGCACAATTATCATTGCGATCCAACTTTTTCCTACATCGTTTTAATATTTTTCGTGTATATTCCTTCCAGCCTGAAGAAAACGATATTGTTTAACTATAATTTCATTTAAATCATATTTTTATATTGAAAGGATTCTCCGTCAGGTCAAATATATGTGGCGCAAATAACTTCTAAAAAGAGTTGAAAACTAAGTTTATCCCTTTCTTATGGTGTCAGGTCATTTTTCTCTAATTTTTTTTCTCTCCCAGGTTATTTCTCTCTCCTACCATTTCACGGTAGGTCATTTCACGGTAGGTCATTTCTATCTCCTTCCTGGGTCATTTCACCCCATTTTGAATCTGGTCTTATATAATTATTTACATTTCCATTCTTGTGTGATGGGGAGAAATTACCCGGATTCCTTTCTGATCGCTCATGATTACCTAAAATATTTTCCATTCTATCACTGAGAGATGTTCAAAATATTTTACTTCGATTTAGAATATGAACATGCTTACATTGCACGAAACCTTCTTCCATTTTATCACCACCAGTCTCCATTTCTTCGTCTGAAGTATTTTCAATCACCGATGCTGTAAATAAAACTTCACAACTTAAAAATGTTTTATCATTTAAAAAAGTATAATTTTTAGCATCGCTCTAAAACATTGTAATGATTGACATTCTCATTGGATTTGAAATATAAAGAAACATAAAAAAGGGAAAACCACGTTATACCAAACATTAAACTTCGTTTTCTTTCTTAATGAAAATTTTATAAGTTCTGGTACAATTTATAAAGATGTATTTTAAGAATGAAGAAAGACATTACTTTTTTCAGTCAAGTTGACTGATTGAATATTGAAAGTTATCATCCTTTACTTTTAATCAGTCTTGACTGTTTAAATGGGCTTGCTTAAGAGTGCTTGTGTGTACAATAAGAATATTTTCTGAACAAAATAATTTTGCAAAAGACTAATGACAAGGTTAGTAAATTTAAGAGTTCCGTTTTCATTGGAAAAAGCAGCTGTAAATGATATTTACCTCTGGACTCTTTGTCTTTGGGAATGGTTGTATATAAAGTTAGTTTTTATATTGTTGATATTGGTAAATTTTTGTGATTTGTGATTTTGTGAAATCGTCAAATTTCAATGCCCCATTTTTGCTGTTATTGTACCTGAATCCTTGCCATCGTCAGTTTCCAGAATAGAATTGTCAGTTGGTGGGGGCTGTTTTCTCCTTGTTGATGGATTATATACCCCTTCTGAAATATTTACCGTAAAAGGACATGTTTTTTCTAACTTATTCTAATAATACTGAATACGAATATAAATTATGCTACTGAGATGACTAAGGCATATACCAGAAATTGATACCGTCGTCATATGCTCCTGTTCGTTATCCATTTCTGTAGTACCATTTGTCCTCATTTTTTCTACAACATATTCAAAAATGCCATACAAGTAATTTTAAACAAATGCAACGGCATTTAAGATTAACTGAAGAAAATATTTAAAAGAGCTCTTTAGAGATAAAATGCTAAAATTTACAGACACACTATTATGGCACGCCAAATTCACAAAAATGAGCTAAACCTAGTTTAACAATTGATAAATTAGGTTTATCGACTGTAAACTATAGTTTACAAACTGTGAACTATAGTTTACAATTCGTTAACTATAGTTTTCATCTGTAAAACTATATATAACGGTTGTTAACTATAGTTTACGAATGCTAATCTAAGTTTATCTGTCTGTAATAAAACCTTAACAATAGATTTTGTTGATAAACATAGATTCACGTCTGTAAACTATAGTTTATGATCGTTAACTATAGTTAAGAGTTGTAAACCATAGTTTACAAATCGTCAAACTGTATTTATCAGATAATCTATGTTTTGCAATCGCAAATGATAGTTTTCGGTGTTAAGTATAGTTTACGGTTGTTAAACATAGATTGATGCGTTAACTATGGTTTACAGATGTAAAATATAGATTAACGATGTTAACTATAACACTACTGGCTTTTAAAACCCCTGTCCGTATGAAAATCCACTGTCTTTCTCTGTATCCTACAGCCTTTTCACAGTAATCTACGGTATATCTACAGTATGCTACGGTATGCTAGCTCTGTATATACAGTAAATCTCTGTATGCCACTGTATGTATCCCCAGCATGCCACAGTTACATACAGTAGGCCCCGATACGCCTACAGTATGCCACTGTATGGCTACTGTTCCCTACAGACAACTACGGTAAACCACAGTATATGCCCCAGTACGCCCCTGTATAATTATGTTCATTGAAGCAAAAAGAAGAAGTTTACACACTCCCAGAGCACTGTACGGTTACCTAAGATGTGGGATTGTCAATTTAGTACACAGAGCTACTTACCTAAGAAATTTTTGAACATTTATCTAAACACATGGTAGTATTTTTTTTTAAAGTGTTAAGAGACTAATTGTGTTCTTTTATAACTCTGATATAACTATGAAAAATTAATAAATTGTTGTTTGAAAGAATATCTATCTATCAATTTTTAAAATTAATTATTTAATTATTCTTTGGTTTGATTTATTATTTAATTTATTAATTTATTTATTTTGCAAACACCTATTTAATCCATAAAATACTTGGAGTAACTTTGAACTTTAAAAAAAAACACGGCCGGGGTAATGCTGAATTTTGGAAAATTGTAGTTTTTAAAATTGATATAGTTTCTTTGAAAAAATAAATAAGATTAATTAACGGCATGAAATTAATCATTTTAAAAACAAATCAATCTATTTCTTGACAAATACAGAGCTGCATAGTAAACTCGGCACAAAATAAATAAGGTGAAGGGTTAGGTGAAAATTAAATAAAATGAATGACTTTAGAAATACAAAATTAATAAATGAACTAATTATTTATCTTATTTATTTATTTGTTTATCAATTCATCTACAAATACATAGATAAACAAAATAAATAAAAAATAATTTATTTATTTTGTAATTGACAAGACAACAAAGTGATTAAATATACACACACCCCAATTGATTTTTTTAGTTTTATTTTTATATGAAAATTATTTCTCCTAAAATATGCTACAAAGTATTTTTTAAGCATATGAAAACAAATTCCAATAATTTTACGTTCATGATGGATATCAAAATAATCGTCAGATTATGCAAAATTTTAATTTGTCAATTGCAATTTCATATTTTTACTTTGTTTTAATTGAAAAAAAAAACGGTTTTTAAAACCGTAACACGATTATGAAAGAACTTCAAAGCCATTGATTGTTTACAAGGGACATGGGGTACAAAGTAATGACACCTATTGTCTTTTTCACTGACCACTATACCTTGTTTATTTTGTGACAGAGAGCGACCGTGTCCTATCTGCGGCTGTTTGAAATAACATTTTCTCTTTGTGACAAAACCGTTTTTTGTCAAACAAAACAAAACGAAATAAAAGTATCAAAAAAGCTATTGACGGATTAAGATTGTGCATTATGAGACGATTATTTTGATATCCAACACGGAAGTGAAATAATTCAAAGTAGTATAAAAATGCTTCAAAAAGACTTTGAGAGACATTTTAGCGGAAACTTGTTTACATTAAATAAGCCAAATAAATCCAACTTTCGGGATTATAATTAATAAATTTGCTTGTATCGTCAGTTTAAAAAATAAATAGATAAATATATTGTTCATTTTACAATGATAAAATACGTGCTTAAAATCAGTTTTATTTATTTAATTTCTAACCATTTAAAAATCAATTATTGAATTTATTTTAAAATCTCTAATTTTCTAAAATGCAGCATTACTCTTGTTGTGAAGGTGTGTGTTTTTGTGTAATTTTTTTTCTAAAAGGTGCAAAAAAGCCATTCCAAGTAATTTATGGATTAAATAGGTGTTAGAGAAATAAATAAATGGTAAATAAATAAAATAAATAATTAATTTATCACCAAAAAAATAAAAATTTCAAACTTTTTAATTATATTTTTTAAATTGACAATACAACAAAATAATTAATTATTTATATCCCTCAAAAAGAAAATTTTTATGGTTTATGTATAAATATTTTTATCCTAAACTGTGTTACAAAGTATTTTCTTAGCATATTAAAGCGAATTTCAGTTATTTTACGTCCATGATGGATATCAAAATAATCGTCAGATGATGCACAATTTTAATTTGTCAATTGCAATTTCATATTTTTACTTTGTTTTGATTTAAAAAAAATCGGTATTCAAAACCCTAACACAATTATGAAAGAACTTCAAAGCCATTGATTGTTTACAAGGGACATGGGGTACACAGGAATGACACCTATTGTCTTTTTCACTGACCACTATACCTTGTTTATTTTGTGACAGAGAGCGACCGTGTCCTATCTGAGGCTGTTTGAAATAACATTTTCTCTTTGTGAGAGAACCGGTTTTTTTTCAATCAAAACAAAATAAAAGTATCAAAAAGCTATTGACGGATTAAGATTGTGCATTATGAGACGATTATTTTGATATCCAACACGGAAGTGAAATAATTCAAAGTAGTATAAAAATGCTTCAAAAAAGACTTTGAGAGACATTTTAGCGGAAACTTGTTTACATTAAATAAGCCAAATAAATCCAACTTTCGGGATTATAATTAATAAATTTGCTTGTATCGTCAATTTAAAAAATAAATAGATAAATATATTGTTCATTTTACAATGATAAAATACGTGCTTAAAATCAGTTTTATTTATTTAATTTCTAACCATTTAAAAATCAATTATTGAATTTATTTTAAAATCTAAAATTTTCTAAAATGCAGCATTACTCTTGTTGTGAAGGTGTGTGTTTTTGTGTAATTTTTTTTTCTAAAAGGTGCAAAAAAGCCATTCCAAGTAATTTATGGATTAAATAGGTGTTAGAGAAATAAATAAATGGTAAATAAATAAAATAAATAATTAATTTATCACCAAAAAAATAAAAATTTCAAACTTTTTAATTATATTTTTTAAATTGACAATACAACAAAATAATTAATTATTTATATCCCTCAAAAAGAAAATTTTTATGGTTTATGTATAAATATTTTTATCCTAAACTATGTTACAAAGTATTTTTTTAGCATACTAAAGCGAATTTCAGTTATTTTACGTCCATGATGGATATCAAAATAATCGTCAGATGATGCACAATTTTAATTTGTCAATTGCAATTTCATATTTTTACTTTGTTTTGATTTAAAAAAAATCGGTATTCAAAACCCTAACACAATTATGAAAGAACTTCAAAGCCATTGATTGTTTACAAGGGACATGGGGTACACAGTAATGACACCTATTGTCTTTTTCACTGACCACTATACCTTGTTTATTTTGTGACAGAGAGCGACCGTGTCCTATCTGAGGCTGTTTGAAATAACATTTTCTCTTTGTGAGAGAACCGGTTTTTTTTTTCAATCAAAACAAAATAAAAGTATCAAAAAAGCTATTGACGGATTAAGATTGTGCATTATGAGACGATTATTTTGATATCCAACACGGAAGTGAAATAATTAAAAGTAGTATCAATATGCTTCAAAAAGACTTTGAGGGACATTTTAGCGGAAACTTGTTTACATTAAATAAGCCAAATAAATCCAACTTTCGGGATTATAATTAATAAATTTGCTTGTATCGTCAATTTAAAAAATAAATAGATAAATATATTGTTCATTTTACAATGATAAAATACGTGCTTAAAATCAGTTTTATTTATTTAATTTCTAACCATTTAAAAATCAATTATTGAATTTATTTTAAAATCTAAAATTTTTTAAAATGCAGCATTACTCTTGTTGTGAAGGTGTGTGTTTTTGTGTAATTTTTTTTTTTCTAAAAGGTGCAAAAAAGCCATTCCAAGTAATTTATGGATTAAATAGGTGTTAGAGAAATAAATAAATGGTAAATAAATAAAATAAATAATTAATTTATCACCATAAAAATAAAAATTTCAAACTTTTTAATTATATTTTTAAAATTGACAATACAACAAAATAATTAATTATTTATATCCCTCAAAAAGAAAATTTTTATGGTTTATGTATAAATATTTTTATCCTAAACTATGTTATAAAGTATTTTTTTAGCATATTAAAGCGAATTTCAGTTATTTTACGTCCATGATGGATATCAAAATAATCGTCAGATGATGCACAATTTTAATTTGTCAATTGCAATCTCATATTTTTTTTTTACTTTGATTTGATTAAAAAAAAATGTTTTTAAAACCGTAACACGATTATGAAAGAACTTCAAAGCCATTGATTGTTTACCAGTGACATGGGGTACACAGTAATGACACCTATTGTCTTTTTCACTGATCACTATACCTTGTTTATTTTGTGACAGAGAGCGACCGTGTCCACTCTGCAGCTGCGTTAAATAACATTATCTCTTTGTATGAGAACCGATTTTTTTCATACAAAGCAAAATAAAAGTTTCAAAAAGCTATTGACGGGTTAAGATTGTGCATAATTAGACGATTATTTTGATTACCAACACGGTAGTAAAATAATTAAAAATAATTTAAATATGCTTCAAAAAGACTTTGAAACACATTTTAGCGTAAAATTGTTTACATAAAATTAGCCAAATAAATCCAACTTTCGGGTATACAATTAATAATTTTGTTTGTATATTCAATTTAGAAATTGAAAAAAAGTTTTTACGCAAAGATTGATTCATGCAATTGATTAGATTAAAGTTTTTAAGAACATCAATAAGTTAAAAAACAAACCCCAAGATTTACCCCGGCTACGTTTTTTTTGTTTTTTGTTTTTTGTTTTTTTTTTTTCACAAAAGTTACAAAGTCACTCCAATTTTATGGATTAAATAAGTTTGCAAGATAAATAAATAAATTAATTAACTAACAAATCAAACCAAAAATTATTAATTTAAGAAATTGATAGATAAATTTTCTTTGAAGCATTGGTTTATTAATTTTTCATAGTTATTTGAGAGTAATAAAAGAACACATTAAGTTTCCCAAAAAATTAAAAAAAAAATACTACCATGTGTTTAAATTAATGTTCAAAAATTTCTTAGGTAAGTAACTCTGTGTACTTTATTGATAATCCCACATCTTAGGTAACCGTACAGTGCTCTGGAAGTGTGTAAACTTCTTCTTTTTGCTTCATTGAACATATACAGGGGCGTACTGGGGCATATACTGTGGTTTACCGTAGTTGTCTGTAGGAAACAGTAGCCATACAGTGGCATACTGTAGGCGTATCGGGGCCTACTGTATGTAACTGTGGCATGCTGGGGATACATACAGTGGCATACAGAGATTTACTGTATATACAGAGCTAGCATACCGTAGCATACTGTAGATATACCGTAGATTACTGTGAAAATGCTGTAGGATACAGAGAAAGACAGTGGATTTTCATACGGACAGGGGTTTTAAAAGCCAGTAGTGTAATTTGCAGTCCGTAAACTATAGTTTACAACTGATAAACATTGTTTATTGATTGTGAAACCATGATTAGCTCATTGTTTTGAATTTGGCGTGCCATACACTATATAATATATCTCCACTATCTCTTATGAATTCCATATTGATAATGCTTAAACACCGCTAAGTAAGCCACTTGTACAAATTGTTGGGGTGTGGCTCTAACATCAATGAAACATATAATGAGATAAATGAATGGGGTCTGAACTTTATTAGATTAAATTTAAAGTATAGATTTAATCAAGTACATGGCGGTTTCAGACCACAAGAAGGTGTTATATATTATGTAATCAATTACGCCACATATTATGTAATCACTTTTTACATATTAATCGTATTTATAACTATTTCTAATTCTGTTGTGGATTTTTTATACTGATAATGAATAGTTAAAGCAACATACCTAAGTCTCTTGTTTATATGAAAATGGAGGGTGAAGGCTTTTTCTAGAAATTCTGCGATAGTGCAATTACTGTGAGTTGGGGTCACGACAGTATACGGAAATGTTAAGGAAATGAGAAGATCCACAGATTAATTATTTTATCAAAATGATTTATTTTGCATTGTCAATTGTACATAAATGATATTATATGACGGTGTGCATTGCTTTAACTTATTGTTCTTATCTTTAATGTTAAAAGAAAAAAAAATGACGGATCAATTTCAATTGTTATAAGGTATAAGTGGAAATTTTCGCGAGATGCAATTTTAGCGATTTGTCCTTAAAACATGGTATTTAATTTTAGGCGAGAAGCAATTTTAGCGACTTTAAAATGCTCACTAATGAAGTTAATACAAATTAAACATAGTTTTTTTTAGCGATATTTAATTTGAGCGATCTCAGAACTCTCGCTAATAATGCCAAAATTAAATCCCCGCTAAAAAATTCTGCTTATACGGGGGGAGGGGTTTATTTTAACGATTTCATAAACCCTTCTGGCACGCGGGCAAGCGGAGTCCTACTTTAACGTGAAATTGTATTGTTCAAATGTATCAAACCTATTGATTCTGATTCATTGCAAGTGACTTTGATATCTCTCTTCTTGTCATCATTATATCCTATAAAGACCATGAATTTCTTCCCTCCTGCAATGAATGCAATATTCCAAGAATAGCAGGGCGCATCTTCTTTTTGGCAGTTTTCTTGGAGGCTACTTCCATATAGGTCCAATGTTTTGCAATCTAAATGTCGTAAATAGTTAAAATGAAGGCACAGTTCTTAGGCATTTACAAAATGCATCCCAATGAACTATTTAAAAATTCTTTTTATTGTCTCATATCAATCTATCATCAATCTCTTTCGATTTATTTCGAAAATGTACATTTAGATCTGGATCATACTGCATCTAATTTGCTTTACTATTTTTGTGGAGTTGTAAACCTGTTATAGTGAGGGGCAATGGACGACATGTGGTGTTCTCTATCTTTGTCGCAGTTTTCCTAAGGTGTTTTCTAAATTCCTCAGACTGTAAGAAAACTATTTAGAATATTCTCCTTTAAAGTAATAATATATATTCAAATATATATACATTAAGTTTATAGATGATTTTATTATGTAGGGTTAGCTTAATTTCAAACAATTTACTACATTTAGAATTTCAATTTTTTAAACAATGGAAAACGTACTTACAATCTCTGACCTAAATTCTCGTCTTCAGCGTCTAGGGATACATCAACCGATTCCAAATGTATCACTACATCTACAATTTAAGAATGGTTTTAAAACATTCTGAAAATATTCAGTATTTTTTTTGCTTTTTGTTTTTTGTTTTGTTTTTTTTTTTTTTTCTTTTTCAAACCTTAATTTTCCATTGTTACATACTTAAAAGTAATCCAAACAAGAACTTGTGTTTAAAACACTTCATGATATCCCTCTACAAAGAAAAACGTGTCCACATTTAATATTTCTCCCGAGTGAGCATGGTATCTTCCTTGTTTTCACATCAATTTATAAAAGTATAAACGTGTTTGTTTCCATATCAACAGGAATTTAAGGTTAAGGAAAATGTACCTACTTACTTACATTGAGATACAGATACAGATATAGGATTGTCAAACGTCCGTACTGCATTGTAAGTTTTCAGGGAAAACAGCTGTACAGTCAAATTCTGATAAATTACATCATCAAAATTTATATGTTTGTTAAAAAATCGCATTTGTTATGACATCATGAGGAAGTATTTACTGAGATTAAATGATAAATTATACGTATTTGAAAATAACATGTACAAGTACACCGAATAAGCGCTTGTGCATGCGCGCTTAGCGCTAAAAAATTGAGGGTTCGGGATCAGAACGCAACAAACAAAAACATCTTAATCCATCTCTTTAGGGAAATTAATTAACTTGAACAGTAATGGTTATTTTGATCTTTGATGACGATGAAAAACGTAATAGTTATCTTGATCCTTGTGTACAAAGGACGAAATATCGAAAGATACTATATATTTCTATGTACGTGGGAACGTTTACTTTACTCGTTCCCAGAGAAACACGCTAAAATTCAGTGTCGCTGAAGGCGACTTCAGTAAATATTAAATTCTGTAAATATATCCTCGGCGTTCATAATGAAAGCACAAGTTTTGCAGCATTGTCTAAATTGGGAAGGTTCCCTCTGCATTATGATATTGTCAGGTTGTTAATTAAAAGTAAGTAGAAATTTGAAAATTTGTCCATAGAATTTCCTTTACTTAAAGATGCATGTGAATGTAGTAAAAAGCTTTTTGTGAATGGAAAGAACTCATAGTTTGCATTTATACAGAAATCAAGAAAATTACTGAATATTAAAAATTAAGTTATTTGTTATTGGAAATATAAATTTAAGCCATTTTGTCAAAAAATTTTATTAGATTATTATGTGAAGAAATGGTATACAAATCATAAAAGTTATGCTAATGGCAAATTATCGTGAGCGGTCTCGAAAAATTAAAATACCGGGTTTTTGGCCTTTTCGACCTTAAAATCAAATTTTACGATTAAAAGTTTTAAACTTCGTTACTTTCAATATATATATATATATATATATATATATATATATATATATATATATATATATATATATATATATATATATATATATATATATATATATATATATATGTAACGTTTTTCTCTCTATGCGGTGTTTGCTGTTACCCACGTCACAAAATATTGTGGATCCCATGTAGAAGATAGGAACTTTAGATCTTTATAGATCTAACATCAGAACAACGACAAAGTTTGTTTCAACAAGTGTATTAATAATATCCAAACGTAGTTTACAATCCAGTACAAGCAAAGTATATCTGCTCACTATCTCTCTCTCCTTATATACCCTGTCTGACACCTAACGTGATTTAGGGCACCTAGTTAGGGCGTTAGGCTCCATCGTTAGGGCATCGTTAGGCTCCATCAATAGGGCACCCTGTTAGGGCAATCGGCTCCATCATTAGGGCACCTATTAGGGCAATCGGCTCCATGTATTAGGGCCTCTGCACCATTGTTAGGTGTCAAGACACTTGATACATTTCGCATCTGATAAGCGCCATATTTATAAGGACACTAATTAGACTTCCAAGACAAGGGTGCTAATCAGGTACCATGGTTAGGGCTTATCAAATAAACAAAAATGATATTCCTATTTTAATAACAACTGTAGCATATTTACATATATAAACAAAAACATTACAATGGTCCCTCCTTTTGAAACATGACTTCCATTGTCATTAATATTTAAAACATGAACATAAATCATATGTATTATAAAATAAAATTACACAAAAGCCAAACAATCAATAAAAAGACAAAAGTAAAACAACAAAATTATATCAAATAAAAATTGTCTCTAGACTAAATCAAAAGTTTATCACACTGGTAGCATCACATTTGGTTTTCCCTGGCTTACGTTCAACATTTTCTCTTCCCTTTTTCCTCATTTAGGATTTTCTTCCTTAGGTTTTAGGCCGTATAAAGTTGACTGACACCTGACCTGCGGCATCAGTCATCTTAGTTAATATAATTCCTTACAGTTCTCTTTTCAACACAATTATGGTCTCGAGAACTGTCTCTTGGTTGAAATCTTCCTCCTTCTCTCTGGTCCCATGGGTTGTAAGGGCGTCCCCTCCTCCCTGGTCCTGTACTACATGTACTTGGGGTTCTCATATTTATATCGATACTGTTGAATCCGTCACCCGCGCTTGGAGGTTTGGTAGTATCCGCAGCTGCTATTTCATTATTCCATTCCCCATCTTCAATCTCATACACAGGCCTATAGCCTGGTTTTGTCTCTTTTAGCAGTTCTTTTTCCCTAATCCGCAAGCACTCTTCTTGCATTGCAGCAAGAACTGCTTCTTGAAGTGTCCTGGGTCTGGTCTTCTTCACTGCAAGTCGAAAATCTTCAGATTGTCCACACTTATCTAAGAAGGACTGTATAGCTTTTTCTTCCACTAAATCTGGATTTCCTGGATAGGCCCTTCGGTACAGATCTTCGATGGCCTGTCCAAAGTCTCGCAGGGACTCACCAGGTAGTCTTCTCCTTAATTTTACATCCGCAATATATTTTTCTTTCATTGCAGAATGGCCGAATCTTTTGTTTGTCTTATCTTTAAGTTGCTCATAGTCTTTCTGTACAGTAAGGGGCATTCCATAGGCATAGCTCTCGGCCTGTCCTCGCAAGGTGCTAAGTAGAACTCTCCGAGATTTCTCGGGTCCCCATGAGTTTAATTCTGAGATGTTTTCAAAATATTGTAGAAACTCATCCCAAACATCATCACTGGCCCCTGAGAAGGTCCTCCTTACTGGGTACTCGTTAGTTCGTTGACTAGCATTTGATGTCATAGGACTGTTTGTAGGTGTCCCGTCAGCCATAGGAATTTCAAAATTGCACCCAAGTCCCTGAGGTGACTGATTGCCCAAATAAGGAGTAGCTCGTCCAGATTGCCCAAAAACCTTAGGTTCCAGATAGGTACCTGTAGGGGCGTTAGGCGCACTACCACCAATATAGGGTGTATCAGTAGGTGTCAAAGAAATTCCCGTTTCCTTACTGGCATTTGTCAGACCTGATTCTCCGTACTTCCATGCTACGCCGATTACCATAACAAGCAATACCATACTTGTTACAGATACCAGAGAAATAACTGCATTTTCATGCGATTTCTGTACGATCTTGCTTTCTGGAAAATAGGTCCAGGACATCATTAACAGAGAAAATCCTATCAAAGCAAAGATTACCCAAATAAATAGGATTCTCTTTAAGCTTGGTCTTGGATTGTACTCGTTGAAAACAGAAAGACCCTGCGAGTTTTGCCCGAACTCCTGAAAGTTAGGACTGTCTGGCATTACTCGACTTGTGGGCTGCAAATCTGTTGTACACCCAGAATTGACCTCTATTCCAGAGTCATTCAGAGGAGCAGGACTGTCAAAGAACTGCCCTACCTTTGTAGGCGTAATTCTCCTCCTTACAATGGGTGTATCCATTTCAAACTCAGTGCTGTTCCGTTCCGGTGTTTCACGTAGATTAACTTCTTTGGATCCCACCGCTGCCACCAATTGTAACGTTTTTCTCTCTATGGGGTGTTTGCTGTTACCCACGTCACAAAATATTGTGGATCCCATGTAGAAGATAGGAACTTTAGATCTTTATAGATCTAACATCAGAACAACGACAAAGTTTGTTTCAACAAGTGTATTAATAATATCCAAACGTAGTTTACAATCCAGTACAAGCAATGTATATCAACTCACTAGCTCTCTCTCCTTATATACCCTGTCTGACACCTAACGTGATTTAGGGCACCTAGTTAGGGCGTTAGGCTCCATCGTTAGGGCACCTGTTAGGGCGTTAGGCTCCATCATTAGGGCACCCTGTTAGGGCAATCGGCTCCATCATTAGGGCACCTATTAGGGCAATCGGCTCCAAGTATTAGGGCCTCTGCACCATTGTTAGGTGTCAAGACACTTGATACATTTCGCATCTGATAAGCGCCATATTTATAAGGACACTAATTAGACTTCCAAGACAAGGGTGCTAATCAGGTACCATGGTTAGGGCTTATCAAATAAACAAAAATGATATTCCAATTTTATTAACAACTGTAGCATATTTACATATATAAACAAAAACATTACTATATATATATATATATATATATATATATATATATATATATATATATATATATATATATATATATATATATATATATATACATGCATGAACCGTAATATTGTGTTTTTCCTAAGGTATAAAAAAAGACAGCTAAATATTTTTTTTTTATATTTACCAAGGTCAGTTTCATCAGAATCGTCATCGGAGTCACTCTCTGTAAAAGAAACGAAAATTAACTTCTGAAGTTATGGAAGCTTAATTTTGCTGTATATATAGCTTCATGTAAATTTTTCTTTGATATCTCTTATAAATACATGTTTTTAAAAAAATTTGTTTTGGATTTTTTTTTATTCTTGAAATCACCCTTTCACGATGCATGTTTCCACATATTGTTTTGAGAATCGTTCTTGGTTTTTTTATCATTAAGAAAATTACTGAAAATTTTAAAACACCGATAAATTCCATTATAACACCACTGTTTAAAATCGATGCTTGTTCTTAAGATATTTTAATTATAACAAATTGTGACTTGCAATAATTGGATTAGATCTAAGGAATATTAACTTCAATATTTTGGACTTTTGATTAGTATAACAATTCCGTTAAGTTTTTATAACATTGAAGAATTAAATAATGGACATCAAATCATCGACCATTTACTTAATCTAAAATAAAAACATACAACTGCATTACCTGCATCATCTCTTCTCCTTAAGTTAAAATTCCCTTGCAGCTCGGCGTCAAATCTTTTTCTTTTATACATAAAGACAGATACACGTTCACATCCAGGAAAATATCAAAATACTTTCCTATGTTCTGTAGATTAGATGAATGTTAAATATTAAACTGAACATAATTATTAATCTCTGCACAATTTTATAAATGTGAACAGAGATATCAACAGCACGATAAGTGTTACAGTCAGAAAAACAGTTCTTAGAAAAAGACATTATCTATTTATATTTTATAAGCCACATTTGCGAAAGTCAGTAATAAACTATTGATTTTTTAACATGCACACTGCGACAGTAATCCAACTATGATATCAGTCTACAAAGGGTGTACCGTTTTATATATTACGTGATTGAATACTTTTAATCTCTTCGGTTGGCAAGGATCCAACAATGTAGGAAGAAATACAGGTGGACAAAAAATATATGTTTTATAGCGTACAAAAAAGAACCAGTTAGAGAATTCCCAAATTAATACATGTACAATCAGTTTTTAGTAGCTACACCAATGTCCAATTTTTATAATAAGAGCATATGTTCTTTATATTGAACCAAAAAACCCCCCAGAATTTTAACAGATACAATTTGTTGTAAAATTGTTATCTCCTTTGCATACAATATCCACGTAAATTGTTCATATCTAAATATTACATAATTAAATATCTTTCTATAAATCTGAAAATTTACAGAGAATATGCATAAGATATATGAAAAACTTACTTTACACAATCATAGTCCACAGGTAGCATTACAATAAGATTATACTACACTCTATAAATAACCACTTATCAGCTAAAGAAACTCTAAATTTTAAATTATGCAGGTACAGATCTTTTATGAACGTAGCAGGTTTTCTTACGTTATTTACCTAACTGATATGGATATCGATTATGTTTAGAGCAAATGATAGATCAACATCAGAATAACGTACATGTATTTGCAAGTCCCAGTAACAGGGGTGAAGGAACCTCTTGTGACTTGGTCATCTGGATTTGAACTACATCAGATTTATGGGTTTTCGAAACTTCATAAAAATCCTTACAAACAAAGATACATTGCGGGTTCCAGTAAGTGTTCAACCAAGCCTCTTTCGTTCGTTACTCCTCACTAAGATATTGACAGTATTGAAGGAAAACTTCAAGAGTACTGTGCAACAATTTATTCAAGAAGTGATGTGAATCAGATGTGGATACTCAAAAATTCAAAAGAACTTTTGGACAATTTGAAATCACAAGATTTTACCAAAATCAACAGCTTAAATACTTACCACTTTTTTAAACTTTATACACAATGATTCCCCACGATAATTAAGTCCGCACTTTTTTTTTGACTATTGACAGCTTTTTTTATATATATAAAAATGGAACTCGTAAATTTATATATCTGGTCATTGGTCATTTGCAAATTTATCTGGTTAAAACACATTCTGATTGCATACACAAGTACTCTAAAGTAGACATCAAAGAGATACTTGAATTTCTAATTGCCAATATCTATGTTGTTTTTGGAGACCAGGTCCTCCAACAATCTATCGGAATTCCAGAGGGTACTAATTGCACTCCGTTATTAGCAGACCTATTTTCATATTCATATGAAGCAGAATTTGTGCAAAATCTTATGCGTAAAAAGAAGAAAACACTTGCTGTGGCCTTCAACTCGACATGTAGATATATCGACGATGTATTGCTAATTAACAATTTCCATTTCTACGTCAATACGATATATCCTGGTGAGCTTGAGAAAAAAGATGCCACATAGTCTGACACATCTGCTTCATACTATGTTATTTTACTTGAAAAAGACGCTTATGGTAATCTTACAACCAAGCTTTATGATAAACGTGATGAATTTTAATAACTTTTCTATCGTTATCCTCCCCTATTTATGCAGCAATATACCTTCATCACCTGCACACGGAGTATATATATCTCATTTGATTCGATACGCAGGAGCATGCTCTATGAAAAAAATTCTAAAACAAGGTATATTATTGACAAACAAGTTGATGAAACAAGAATATCAGCAGTCTTGTTTAAAGTCATCATTTTGTAAGTTCTATGGTCGATACAATGACTTTGTCAGCAAATACAATTTATCATTGATGCAAATGTTGACTGAATTTTTTTTAATACAAATTGGTAGTATATTTTTTATACACCGAATTGACTACGGATTTTTGCCCATTATTTTCTGATCATGACAAGGAGCACACGGCGGGTGTGACCGTTCAGCATGGGATGCTCACTCCTCCATGGCACTTGATCCCATCTCTGATGTTTCGAGGTCAGTGTTTGCTCTGCGCCTATTTTGTATTGTTTTATGGACTTTGAGATTGAATACTGTTTGTTATATCCACATCCTTCTCTACGCAAGAGCAAATATAATTAAAAAAGAAATAAGTTATACACTACTTACATTAGGAAGGAATCTAATTCTTGCCAAAATATTCGAGTATATAATCTGGTTTAGTAGGTTTCAGCTTAATATTCCCCGAAGCGGATTATAAAAAAGAGTAAACTGCCCCAAACTAGGTTAGACAAGAATTAGTTGTATAAGAATTAGAGTCATTTCCTATAATCTAATTTTAAAATCATTAAACAAATGTGTGTAAAATTGCGTTGCATTTTATGAGCTGGAAATTTGCCGCTAAATGATGCAACCGTACTAAGTGAAGTGAGGAAAGGTGATAACTGATACATATTTCAATATGTAGAAACAGGGTGGGAACCTTTCATAATAAAAAAGATAAAGCTAAATTTTGAACAATGTTTAAAATCCGCAGTAACCTTGCTCCTGGTTATCTAAAAAAATATTGCTCCAGTAGTTAGAAACACTATCTTAAATTGTAATACTCGTAACTCGAGTAATTATTTCTTGTCAAAATGTAGATTTGAATTATTAGTCCCCAACCGGTGAAACTATAGGTAGAAAACGTCCATATAGGTGTACCCGTCTGTCTTTCAGTCTTTCCTTCTTGGTTTTCCCCACTTTTCCCAAACACTTTCAGATATTGAGCTGACATTTGGTATGAAAGTGTATCTTGATGAGTTACAGATTAAGTTTGAATTTCATTTTGCTTCAATGATTTTTGACAGAATTATGGCTTTTTAAAATTTTATATAATGGTATAAGATCGGATTCGTTCTGCGCTAAATTCCGATGTTCAACATGGTAAATACGAGAGAAAGCGAAAAAAAGACGTTGAAAAAGTGAGTTGAATTTTCGTCTTTTTATGTAGATTATTTCTTTAGGTTAATTAGCATTATTATCCTTCAGAATTATACAGTCAATCTGATTGGTTTAGAGCAGGTCACGTGCAGGGAGACAACTCGTGATGTCTCCCTCACGCGCAGGGTGACAACTGTTATCTCCCTTCAGATGACAATGAAATAGCATAAGCGAGCATGCACGGTTACAACTGTGTTGTCGCCCTTTGATAAAGACTACAGTGGTTTAAGCGAGATAACTCCTATTTATAAATACAATGGCTAAATATGCGGGATCGGTAAACAATAAATTCTAACGATGACGTCAAAGTTGTCTGTTGACATATTAATTTTGAAAGGATGGAATCGGAGCAGAGTAGAAGAAAACAAGAGGTTTGATTACTATTTTCTACTCTATCTAATTGATAATTAAATATTCTTAAGGATAATAAAACTATTATGGACTGTTTAGAAGGGCGACATCACCAGTTATCAGGTCTGAGTAGGGTTGTCACCCTCGGGCGCAAGCGCCCTCAGGTGACAACCCTACTCAGTCCTGATAATTGGTGATGTCTCCCTTCTAAACAGTCCATAATTGTGTATTATTATTAGCATTCACAACCTCAAAATCAAGCAGTTTTACTTTGGTCATAACTTTTACATATTATAAAATGACATCCAGATGAAAAAGTGGAACTTGTAGAGGACATGTATTGCTTATGCATTACTCTTAGAATGCTTGTTGAATAAGTCATCTGTTCCAAATACTATTCGAAAATGGAATGACCTGAGTGTAGTGATATTATGTTAAAGGATGTAACTGAATGTGTGTTAGAGTTTGTGTGCAAGAGTTATGTTTTCGGTGTGGGTCATGCGTCAGTGTGTATGCGGCATGAGTTATGCGTGCATGGACGTCAGAGTGGAAGATTGTGGTTATGTACACTGTATGTATCTGTTTACTTGTAATAAACTTTAAAACATTGATTCAATTCGAGTTTTCTTCACTGAGTAACAAATTCAGGGATATAACCTATTAAAATAGGAATTTTCAAAAGAAAACTGAATAGCAAAAACAAATAATGACTTGCCTCCCAGATATCTATCATTTGGAAATGAGTATTTTAACATTTTACACACAAAATTAAGACACGATTGTATTTTAAACTATGACCTATATAGATGCAACATTATGACGAATCCAAATTGCTCTTGTAGATAAAGGAGGATAGTCATTATTTTTTTCTTTGTGTGTTGAAAATATGTAGAAGCTAGAAGTTTAATGTTGAATTCTTTACTTGTAGTCAAAAATATAAAAATGTTAAATCTACAGTTTCATGCTATATTTTAATATAATTATGTAATCCTTTTAGGAGTTGTTTCCTATCAAAAGTGGACAAGAAACATTTAGACAATTTGAAATCACAAGATTTTTACCAAAATGAGCAGCTTACACGATACATTAAAGTCCAAGCTTTTCGACATCATTGAAAGCTGCTTTTTCAATAAAATTGGAACTTGTCAATTTTAAGTAACTTGACATTGGTCATTTTCAAAATTATTTTGCTAAAAACATTCTGATTGTAAACACAATACTCTAAAATCGACATCAAAAAGATGCTTGAGATTCTTGGTTCTTGTGGAAAATAGCTGATTACTTAATTATCAAACGTCGTAACATTTAACAAATAAATTATACGGAGCTTGACAGCAGGGTATCATAACTCATGTCCAAAAATAGCCAGCCACTAGGTGTCGTTTTTTGCACGCGAGAGACGAAAATAGAAATACCCCGGTACCGTAGAACCACCGATATCATAGGAATGGGGTAAATATCATTAAACTTCTGCATCTTGCTTCTGACATGTG